AAATATTATTACAGAAGATTAGACTGAGCATATTCTGTAAGAAACAGAACCTATATGAGGTGTTCTTAAACCGCATGCATTGTTTTGGATATGATTGAGAAACAGCAGACCTGTACCAGCCAAACACATCCCAGAATACAACACGAAAACATGCAGATGGCAGACAGGTGTCATTTCGTTTCAAATCTGCAGAGTGGTGCAGGTCATTTCACCCACAGCCGTCTGGCCCCGGACAGATAAGACAACAGAAGCTTTTAGTCGTTAGCGTTCTGTGCCTGGCGCCACTCTTCTTCCCATCACTCACACAGACATGCTGCTCTGGAACATAAAATCAAGCTGGACCAAAGAGTCTCACCGTTATTCATTCATACACAACTGTATTCGTGATCTTAGTTTTTGATCAACTTGTTAAACGTGTCTGCTCCAAACAGTCAAGAAGTCTCACGTGATCAGTCGAAGGGAGGAGTTATGTTTGAATTTCGAGCGCGAGCGCCTCAGAGCCAATCAGCTTCGCCCTGACATGTATAAAGAGCCACAGCCTCAGCCCCAGAAGCATACTGTTCACAGTTCTCACACTGATCCGGAGCAGACGAGATGGCCAGAACCAAGCAGACCGCCCGTAAATCCACCGGAGGAAAGGCTCCGAGGAAGCAGCTCGCCACCAAAGCTGCCCGCAAGAGCGCCCCGGCCACCGGCGGCGTGAAGAAGCCTCATCGCTACAGGCCCGGGACCGTGGCTCTGAGGGAGATCCGCCGCTACCAGAAGTCCACCGAGCTGCTCATCCGCAAGCTGCCCTTCCAGCGCCTGGTCAGGGAGATCGCCCAGGACTTCAAGACCGACCTGCGCTTCCAGAGCTCCGCAGTCATGGCTCTGCAGGAGGCCAGCGAGGCCTACCTGGTGGGTCTGTTCGAGGACACCAACCTGTGCGCCATCCACGCCAAGAGGGTGACAATCATGCCCAAGGACATCCAGCTGGCCCGCCGTATCCGCGGGGAGAGGGCTTAAAGCGGCGGCTTCATTCTAAACACAACGGCTCTTTTAAGAGCCACCACTTTCTCAAAGATTGTCTTCTCTGGTCATGGTTAGAAGTTATATTGTCAATAGGACTGAGTTTGGAATAAGTTATAAAATCTACAGATCTTTAGGGATTACGTAACACATGCAGACTTCCCATGCTCTTTACTTTTTACAAAGTAAACACATTATCTTCACCATACTCCGCCAGCAGAGGGCGCTTCAGGTACGGTCAGTGAAGAACAGGCATCCAGCAAACCCTAGAGATAGACGTGCTGCACAAGTGGATGACATGAGCCACCAATAAGTCATTTGAACATATGAAATAGGAAAACATTCTTTGCATATAGAGTATGTAGTAGCATTAAAGGGGAGCACTACCCACAAAATACCTCACAAATTAAAGCTGCATTGTAGTTTTTCACAATATGAATATGGCTGATATTACAATAATTTTCACTTTATGTAATTTTAAACTTTTCTCATTAACTGGTAAATGAAAGCGTTTATTTATGCTCTTGTATACTGTGTTTTAAAATTGGGCTTTGAGTTTATAAGTTGATACAACACATGCAAGCATCAAATCAGAATTCCAGTGTGTATTGTTCCTGATGGCCCGAGGAGAGGTGTATATAGTGTCCATCTAAGTGTAATTAAAATGGACACATTTACAGATCACTTTATAGCTATCTAATTCCCATACCACACTACTGTCAGGAAACATCTCCACACAATCTGCTGTCTTATAAACATCTATATTGTATTACCTGTTTACTGCACAAGCCCTTTGCTGTTTACATCTCTGATCTCATATTCATTACGCTATATTCTCTGAGCATGTGGATCTCTTGAACGGTTTCGTTTCAAACGTGGGTTTAGTTCACTGCTGTCCTGGAGGCTGCATTCTGCAATGGACGCGCGAGGGGCTCTTGGGATGTCTTCTGATTGGAGGACTCCTCTTCTAAAGGACCAATCAGGGCGTAGTAGGGCCTTTATAGCCGAGCTACAGCCGCGCTGCAGCACAGTTGTTTCTCTTGAGACTCATACTACACGTCACAATGTCTGGACGAGGAAAGGGCGCAGGTAAAGCCAGAGCTAAGGCCAAGTCCCGCTCATCCAGGGCGGGGCTGCAGTTCCCCGTGGGCCGTGTGCACAGGCTACTGAGGAAGGGTAATTACGCCCAGCGCGTCGGAGCCGGAGCCCCCGTGTATCTGGCCGCGGTGCTCGAGTATCTGACCGCTGAGATCCTGGAGTTGGCCGGTAACGCCGCCAGAGACAACAAGAAGACCCGTATCATCCCCCGCCACCTGCAGTTGGCCGTCCGCAACGACGAGGAGCTCAACAAGCTGCTGGGAGGAGTGACCATCGCCCAGGGAGGAGTGTTGCCCAACATCCAGGCCGTTCTCCTGCCCAAGAAGACCGAGAAGGCCAAGTAAAAGCCCTGAACAACCGCCACACAACGGCTCTTTTAAGAGCCACCCACTCCCTTAAAGAGAATCTTCTCGTATGTGTTTTTTTTTGTTTTGTTTAATCTAACGTGAGAAACGAGACTATACTACACTAAACTAATACCTTGCTTCCAATGACTCAAGAATTTCCTTCCTACACATGTGGCTCAGAACAGTTACTCTCCATGTTAGTGCCATATGAACTGACTGCGGAGCACGGGGACTAGCCTCTTGCTGGGACTAGCACAGGGTCTGCTAGTGGGAGCCGGGACTAAACCTAGGGAGGCAGCGTTTCAGATGTATGCCACTATCTGGAGCAATCTTCCTTAAAATGTGAAACAACTTTGACAGTGTTCAAATCCAGGTTGAACACGTTTGCCTGCGCGTATAACTGAAGGATCTTATGTCTACTTTTGCACTGTGGTTATTCATAATCGTGTTCCCTTTGATTTGGTTGATAATAATGGAACCGATGTATTAAGGCACACAATTAAAAGTACAGAATGGAATATATTTAAAAAGGTAGGTTTTGTGATTTGAAACAGTGAGGGTGTCGCAGGTCCAGTGGCAGTGTTCCAGAGGCTGGGTTGAATGGTTGTAATGTCCTGTGATTTTAATGTTTATGAGTTACGGCTTCATAGTGATAAAGCACAAAGCTGCAACGCACTTTGTGTTCTTCTGTGCAGGAAAAGCGCTCTACAAATAAATGTGAATTAAAAAGATGAATGAAACACAGACACTGCTGTGAAGTCCTTCACATTGCAGTCATTCATAGTGACGGCACGGTGGCTGAGTGGATAGCACTCTCGCCTCTCAGCAAGAAGGTCCTGGGTTCGAATCCTGGTCAGACCAGGGCCTTTCTGAGTGGAGTTTGCATGTTCTCCCCGTGTCTGCGTAGCTTTCCTCCGGGTACTCCGGTACCCCTACCACTAAAAATATGTCCAATAGTTCTGGCATGGGCCTCCTATACTGGCGACCCTGCTCCCATCTCTGTGTGGAGTGAGAGACAAATGCCCAAAAAATTAACAATTGTTTTGAAGCTTTGAGACTCAGATCTGCAGTGAAAAGGCGGTATATAAATAAAGATTACTTACTACTACTACTGCAAATGCTCCTGAACTATTGAAGAAACCATCTTCTCTACGGTCTGTAAGGAAACATCTACATAATATACTATGAACAAAGGCGTTAATAACTCCTAGGACCTTTAAAGTTTGACCACAAATGACACTGGCCCTGTCCTGTAAAGAGCGGAGCCGAGCCAATTTTTTTTTTTCCCCCTCATAATTATTGTTCCTCACGTAAACGTCCTGTTTGTGTAGAAACATAGTGACTGTGAAATGGCCGGCTCCGTTATGCGCGGGGAGGGGCCCCGCGTATGCGCCTCTCCGAAATAACGGCCATCTTTCCGCAGTCTTCAGCCACGTCCGTAGATGCCTTACAAGTTCAGCAGCGCAGTTCTCTGACCTCATCTGAGAGTTATACCACTAAACTGTCAAAATGAGCGGGAGAGGAAAAGGAGGAAAGGGACTCGGGAAAGGAGGCGCCAAGCGTCACCGCAAAGTTCTCCGTGACAACATCCAGGGCATCACCAAGCCCGCTATCCGCCGTCTGGCTCGCCGCGGCGGTGTGAAGCGTATCTCCGGTCTGATCTACGAGGAGACCCGCGGAGTGCTCAAGGTTTTCCTGGAGAACGTGATCCGTGACGCTGTCACCTACACCGAGCACGCCAAGAGGAAGACCGTGACCGCCATGGACGTGGTGTACGCCCTGAAGCGACAGGGCCGCACCCTGTACGGCTTCGGAGGTTAAACACGGCACTACAACGAACACCAACGGCTCTTTTAAGAGCCACCCACTCCAAAAAAGGAGAACCTTCGCAATTGATCAACATTTTTATATTGCTTGCTTGTTGCCAAGATGTTCTTGGCAAGGTCTCCCTCGTGAAAGAGCTTTTATCTCTAGGGACTTCCTCTGGTATAATAAAGGTTAAATAAAACGCATTTTGTACAAACAATTTGTGTGGGTCACAACTGCAACCAGAGGATGGGGAAATGGCTCATCACCAAATACAACGGCTCTTTTAAGAGTCACCCACCCCCACACAGAGACTAAACTTCTGTCGTGACAACTAAGACAAACTTATTTAATGACTTAACCAGTAGTTCCTTGCTCCAGCGACCTGTAACAGTAATTGTAACATTTGTGTCTATTTGAATTTGTACGATAGTGACTTGAGCACGAGGTCATTTTAGTTGTTTAAATCAGTGTTTTAAACTCCACTTATTATATGCCATGTCTCTAAATATTCCCATAAACCTAGAGGAGTTCCACTGTTTTTTGCTTTTTCTAACGCTCTCCGCAGTTTTCTTTGTCCTGTGTCCGTGTCATCGCCCAGAAAGAGCGAAAAGGAGAGAAACTCCAAGGGAGGGAGGTCTGACCAATCACGTGAGAGGAACAGCGCAGCTGCTCTGCATGACGCGAATATAAATAGAGCGCACGGACCCGCTCTCCGACAGTCTGTACTCGCAGAGCAACATGCCTGAGCCAGCAAAGTCCGCGCCCAAGAAGGGCTCCAAGAAAGCCGTCACCAAGACCGCCGGCAAAGGCGGCAAGAAGAGGAGAAAGAGCAGGAAGGAGAGTTACGCTATCTACGTGTACAAGGTGCTGAAGCAGGTGCACCCCGACACCGGCATCTCCTCCAAGGCAATGAGCATCATGAAACTCCTTCGTCAACGACATCTTTGAACGCATCGGCGGAGAGGCCTCCCGCCTGGCGCACTACAACAAGCGCTCCACCATCACCTCCAGGGAGATCCAGACCGCAGTGCGTCTGCTGCTGCCAGGAGAGCTGGCCAAGCACGCCGTGTCTGAGGGCACCAAGGCCGTGACCAAGTACACTAGCTCCAAGTAAACGAAGCAGTTTACAAAGTAACAAAGGTCCTTTTCAGGGCCACCCACACACCAGAAAGGGTTTCTTCTATAATGATATGCTGTGTGCAGACTGAAAAAATGTCCAGAATTCAACTTATATCCTGAATTCTCTCCTACACATAGGCCTTGAACAAACTGCTCTTTCAGAGTTTTTGTTTTTAAACACATTTTCGTCAAATTAAACATTGTTCAGAGTGTTTTGTTCTAAAAGTGGCGAGCACAATTGCCAATCATTGGAAACTCCTCCTGATAATACCTTTTTTAAGAAAACAAAAATAGTTGTAATCAACATCATTTATAAAAAACAGTTGTGCCGCTGTTAATGATGTAATGGAAACTTGTGCATGTGCCTCACGGCAGCCGAAGCAAACGTTTAAGAAAGAGTTAAAATACGAATGTCACTTTTTGGGGGTGACAGTAGGCCATGTCATCTGCTCCCACTGATGTCTGCTGTCAGTGTGTCTTGTGTCCCTGGGCAAGACACTTAACCCCACTTTGCCTCAAGATACGGCCTTGAAAGATCAAGGCTGTATCTGTGTTGATGGAGCAGCCATCTTCCTGCGGAGGATCAGCGAGGGACTGGTGCTACGTGAATTGGGTGCAACTCTGATTGCCACCCCCTGACCCAGAAATGGATTATAAAGGGATGAAAATAAACTCACTTTTAATGCAATTTGAGGCGAGATGTTAATGGTTCCGTGTTGTGAGATGTGGGTTTTAAGAGTCAAAGTTTCGTGTTAAGTTTAGTTTAAAGCTGCGCTAACTGACTTTATTTTCGTATTCATTCAGTGAGAGACTTATTCATCCTCCATGTGTGAAGGAGAGGTTCCACAGGTCTTTCCTTCCTGCTGCTGTCAGATTGTATAATCTGACCGGGATTCAAACCCAGGACCTTCTTGCTGAGAGGCGAGAGTGCTATCCACTCAGCCACCGTACTGCCACCTTACTATTATTATTGAAGAAATATGTGATATAGGCATCTCTCACCACATGCCTATTTTGTTCAGCCTGTCTTTGCCTTCTCAGCCTAAACGTGCCCATCCTGCGGAAAAATAAGCGCGCCCTTAGCTCCACTACGGCAGCACAATTCTCTGAGGCTTTTAAAGCATGTTTGCCTTTTATTCTGAGCGATCCAAGCGCAGACGCTGATGAACTCACTAACATTTTTAATCTAAAATGCACAGACATACTGGATACTATTGCCCCTTTTAAGTGTTTCCGGGAAAAGCCTATGACTGAACCATGGCTCAATGACACCACCCGTGCGTTAAGACGCGACTGTAGGCGTGCCAAAAAGAGATGGAAAAAGACAAACTTCACGTCTCTCTGGGATTTCTTAGAGACTGCTTAGCGAAGTATCAAAGTGCTGTTAAAGATGCTAAAGCCCAAGATATGTCCAGCAATGTTTCCAACAACAGTCATAGACCCAAGGTCTTATTCAATGTTTTAAATCGTATTGTCAATCCTTTTGATTCTCCTGCTAATGTGTTTTCTGATGAACTGTGTGAAAACTTTCTTTCATTTTTTGTCGGCAAATTGGCTGATATTAGAGCGTCAACTATATAGTAAGTAAGTAAGTAAGTTTTTATTTATATACCGCCTTTTCACTGCAGATCTGAGTCTCAAAGCGGTTTACAATTGTTAATTATGGGCATTTGTCTCTCACTCCACACAGAGATGGGAGCGGGGTCGCCAGTACAGGAGGCGCATGCCAAAACTATTGGACATATTTTTAGTGGTAGGGGAAACCGGAGTACCCGGAGGAAACCTACGCAGACACGAGGAGAACATGCAAACTCCACTCAGAAAGGCCCTGGTCCGACCGGGATTCGAACCCAGGACCTTCTTGCTGAGAGGCGAGAGTGCTATCCACTCAGCCACCGTGCCGCCCATATATCTTGCTTGGGATCCATCTTCAGCCATCCATCCATCCATCCATTTTCTACCCTTTAATCCATTTCTGGGTCAGGGGGGTGGCAATCAGAGATGCCACCCAAGTCTCATAGCACCAGCCCCTTACTGACCCTCTGCAGGTGGTGAGTCCACAGGAGGACGGCTGCTCTCTGAGTGTGAGCACAGCCTTGATCTTTCAGTGGGGGCTTTGGGCAAAGTGGGGTTAAGTGTCTTGCCCAAGGACACAACGACAGCAGTCATCAGTGGGAGTTGATGGAGAAGGTGCAGAGGTGGGAATTGAACCCACAACCTTCTGGCCTTAAGACCAATGCTCTACCAACTGAGCTACTGTCGCCCCTCCATCTTCATCCCATTTTAGTATTGCAAACCTTGATGAATTTGAGCCAGTTTCACTCACTTAATTGAGCACTTATAATGCCACATCTGAAACCCTCTGAGTGTCCACTAGATGGCATTCCTCCCAGACTTCTCAAGTCTGTATTTGATGTCATTGGTCCATATTTGCTGAAGGTTTTAAATACCATCTGGTTGTGTCCCTGCTGCTTTTAAACACACCGTTGTTCAGCCGCTTCTCAAGAAGCATAATCTTGACCAAAATACCTTGTCTAATTACAAGGTATTACAAGCTTGTGTATGTCCAACTTCAGACATACCTTGAAGTAAACGGAATCTATGAAAAGTTTCAATCTGGCTTCAACCTCTTGAGGGTTTTTAATGACCTAATTTTAACAGTTGATTTGGGTAATCCTGCTGTGCTTGTGCTCCTTGACTTAACTGCAGCCTTTGGCACTGTTGATCATATCATTTTGATATCTCGTCTGGAACAATATGTTGGCCTTAAAGGTACAGTTCTACAATGGTTCAAGTCCTATTTGGAGAACAGGTCCTTCTCTGTACATCTGGGGCCTCACTCCTCTAGTACGGCTCCTCTGACCTGTGGAGTTCCACAAGGCTCGGTTTTAGGTCCTGTTTTGTTTTCACTGTATATGTTACCTCTTGGAAACATTTTTAAGACGTACAAAATCGCCTTCCACTGCTTTGCAGATGATCTGCAGATATACTTTCCCCTTAAATCAGGCAGCACTCCTGCCCTGCTGCAGTGTCTCCAGGATGTTCAAACATGGTTAGCTCTTAACTTTCTTAAACTTAACGAAAGTAAAACCGAAGTTGTTGTGTTTGGCAATTCAAATTCTTCTGGATCCACTGATGTTGTCCTCGGCCCATTAGGATTTGAATATCAGTATAATATTTGTATATAAAGTTTTTCCAATGCTTTTAGGACACTGTGCCAAGCTACACACTAACCCTATACCCACCGCACGCGTCTTGTGAAGCGCGGAGAGTCGCGCAGCGGCGCGCCGCGCAGATTTGAAATACGCGCCCATGTTATCAGCGAGGACCCTACCCACAGCACGAGAAGCGCCGCGCAGCGAGCCGCGCTCGTCTGGCCAAAATAGGACACTCGCGTATTTTTGCTCCCAGTCAAAACACATGGGAAACATGTTTGTGCTTTGAAGACACCCCATGTCCATATTCTTGTCACTGTGTACAATACATGAAGTACATTTCCCACCGCATTTGTCTGTGGGATGACATACAGTATATGGAGATGACGTAGGGGGCTTTTTTCCCCGGGGTCACAGCTGTGGGCATTTTTTCCCGGGGGACACAGCTGTAGGCTATAGATAGTGATAGATAGTGCTATGAAGTATACGTATATACGGAATGGTACGAAAAGTTGTGATCAGCTAATTATGCAGCTGGCTCCATCTAGAGGAGTTTCGCGGGCATAGCACCGCTCACCATAGCCATTTTCCGGTTATATACTCATAGGACTTTTACATATTTAGAGTGCAGTTGAAAATAACTAACAACTCATCAATATAAAAATAACAAGTCATTGTTTAATGTTACATTGACATCAAAACAAACAAGGTCACAACAAGCAATTGTATTATAAAAAACAAACACATTTTAAAATGTAAATTTCATTTGCAAAGATTTCTATAAACTACAATGGGTTCTGTGAAACGAAGGTGCACAGCTTGTCCTTTAAAGATGAAGCCGCCTCACTGGCTCTTCGCCCTCCCATCCCCTGTTGCACCCTGTGCATATCCAGGCCTCTGTCTCTAGCCTCTGCCAGCCACATCTGATTATCTGCATTGTTGCTCTGGAAGTTGTGTAAAATGCAGCAGGAGATAATCACTGAGTCAACATGTTGTGGTGATAGGACAATTTTTGTGAGAAGCACCCTCCATCTCGCAGCCATTATGCCGAAGGCACACTCCACTACCATCCTCGCCCGAGACAAACGGTAGTTGAAAGCCTTCTTTTGAGCGGTCAGGTTGGTGCCACCAAATGGACGCATGACACAGGGCTTTAGGGGGAATGCTGCATCCCCCAAGATCACATGTGGGATGCTTCCCAGCTCTTCAGCTCCAGGCAATGGTTTGGGCTGTGGGACATGAAAGGTGTTGTTCTCCGGGCCTCTCTGCAGGTTTGAGGCTGAGAAAACACCTCCATCACTGGCTCGTCCATAGTTTCCCACGTGGATGTATGTGAATTTGTAGTTGGCATCCACTAAGGCCATGAGGACAATAGAAAAATTGTGTTTGTAATTATAATGAAGACTTCCAGAGTTAGGTGGTGCTCTGATGTCAATATGTTTGCCATCTATAGCACCAATGCAGTTTGGGAAATTCCATTTCTCCCAAAAGGCTGCAGCGATGCTTCTCCAGCTGTCCTCAGTGGGCCTTGGAATCTGGCTCCTGAGCATTAGCTTTTCTATGGCTTCCATTGTGTTCTGGACAATCCGAGCCACAGTTGTGACACCAAGTCTGTACTGAAAGGCCAGACTGGTGAAACTTTCACCGGAGGCCAGGAATCTGAAATGAAGACAAATATGTAAGGGATAACGTATATTACGCAGGTCATTATCGGAAAATAAGTACAGGGCGAAGCGGACCCCGACGCGCAGCGGATACGTTATCCCGCTTATTATACGGCTTTATACCAACAGAACACACAACATAAACTTCAGTCCACTTTTAGGAATGCCGAAAGGTTTATTTAATGAGAGAAAATAAAATAGTTCCCAAAGGCTTTCCCGTGGCTATGCTAGCAACAGTTAGGCTGGCAACTTCCAAACTAGAACTCTCTGGAACTGCATGAAAACTGAACACAGAATTCTGAACATCAGCGGTGAGTGACCCAAACCTAAACTTAACCTAAATCCATAATTCGATCCTCTGCAAATGTGTCCGAAAATGTGCCGGTATCTTAAAATGTGCCGGTATCTACTTCCGGGTTTTTTGGGATCGCCTATTCTCGTATTACATCAGTGTTTTTGTCATGAAAACGTACACGGAAAATTCTGAAAACTTCCGTGCACTTGTATTAAGACTGGATATGTATAATGTATTCTCCGATTAACATTTCATTGCGTTGATTGATTGTCATTTGCGTTTATTGAGCGGCCGGAACTACTTACGGGTTTTTCACAATCGCTTTTTGACGCAGAGAAATAATATTTTTGTCATGAAGACAAGACCAGAAAATTCTGAACATTTCCGTGCACGTGTGTGAAGAATGTATATGTATAAGTATTCTCCGATTAACATGTAAGTGTGTTGATTGAGCGTGGCTAGCTCCGGAGTGGCCGGAACTACTTGCGGAGTTATCCACGCATTTGAAAGACAAGCAGAGAGTGCGTTGCCAAAGGGCAGCGGCCATTATTGTTTTGAGAGGTCCGTTATAGAAAATAATGACCGGTAGAACGTTTTGAAATTACATTCAAATCAATGGAGCATTCTACTGCTGCTGTGAGGAGTCGTATAATAAATAACATTAAAAGATTATCAATGCATTTACATTTAAGTCTTTTTCTCTCATTACAGTTGAAGAACGCAAGCAGAGGTGGAAGGGGCTGAGGGACTCCTATGTGAAATTTAAGAAGTTCCCCCCAAGTGGCTCCGGAGGAGGAAGTGAGCGTGACTGGAGGCACGAAAAGGAAATGGCTTTTAAGGATCACCCTCCCTGTACAGGGAGGATTCAGTTATTTTTCATTTAACAGCATCAGTATTAGAATTCACTTGTGTCAATATAGTCAAGCTATATCTCTTTTGAAAGCTTATTCCCACCTCTATACACGTATTATGTTCAAATAAACATTAAATATAACCAAAAGTAAGAATAAGTAGTCAAACTGTATATATATTTAAAATATATATTGTCCTTTCTTACCTTGTCATGCTAATATTCTGGGGCAAATCACGTCTAATCCACACATGTGTGCATTCATTTTGTTCGTTAGGGTCTAGAGAATAATTATATCTAGTTGTTTTTTCTTCAAAGTCATCCTTATAGTAGATATCCACTTGCAACAATATATTTGAGTATTGAAAGTTGCACAAACAAAAACAAAACCTGTTCTTTGCGCACTGTATGAAGAGGACATTTTACTGTTTAGCTAGCGTCACTGGGTATGTTCGTCTTCCTCTAAGCCTCCCCTTCAAAACAAGCCCATTCCTGGACTTTTCAGTGCTATGGTTTGGAAGGTAGAGTAAGTTGAGTAAAACAAGCGCACCTAGCTTTAGCGCTCCATTCACATAGATATCTGTGCGTCATGACAGCATTGTCTTGACTACCATTGGCCGATTTGGATGTCAATCAAATCATCTTGTAGCCAATAATCTCAGGTTTCAGGCGATGTGTCGGACTTCTAGCTTCCTCCCACTGTTCCCGTCATATTTGAATGCGTAAAGAGGAAGACGGAGCCTTTTTCACGGAGAACACTCGCTATAACTATATAAATAATATCTTTTCTGAAAACATTTCAATATCTGGTAAAAAATGCTATTTATAGCAAGAGTAATAGCCAAGAAATTATATAAATGGATTTTTGGTGTAAAAACATTGATAATTTGCATGTAAAACACTTTGGCACAGTTGGCACAAAAATGGACCACTTGTGCCGAATGTGCCCATTAGTTACAAAAAAGCCCCCAGCATCAAAATAGTTCCACCTAAAGGTCTAAAATTTCATACAGGTGTTGCCAACACCACAAACATCTGCTCTGGTGAGCTTGAACATCATACCATAAAGTATGTCTTCAGGAGAACCTTTTGAAATTGCCTTCTTTTTTTTGACAAAAAAAACTAACTTTGACTCATGTTTTAGAAGCTGTAGTGCAGACTGTGTCCTTCCTAACAAACTGTAACATACATTTTCAGAAACTAGAAGGTGTTACCTTTCAAATGAGGCCTCATAACACAACATCAGACACAAGATGTCCACACAATAAGCATTTCCATTTGGGTATCATAATTCGAGAAGGAGCAGGCGAAATTAGGTGATCCTTAAGGAGGTAAAGTATAAAAATATATCATTACGTTTTTTTTATGTAGTTTTAGTTTCTATTGCTGGTAGAAGTTAAAAAAAATAAGATACTTACTGCTTAATATTTTGGTTTATGACTGTCACAGCTCCAGGGACTCACATGGAGACACGTCTGCAGACGACAATGTCCGGGAGCGTGCAGATGACGAAGCATCACAGCCACAATCTCCAAACCCACATGACACAGAAGAACGGCTCATAAGAACCCCCCCATCCCCACCTCACTCCAGCACACCGATTGTAGACACACCTCATTCCTCACAAGTCACCACCTAATTAACTCCACACAACCCACAAGCCCAACGTTCAAAATCAAGGAGATACCATACCCACAGAGAACGAGTCCATATTCCACTTCTTCATGAGTGTAGTCCCACGAGTTAGCGCACTATCGCAACCGTCCAGAGCAGCCTTACAAATTAGGATCCTTCATTTAATAGGTGAATTGGAAGAAGAAGACCGAAGAGCATATTATCCACAGCACCCACACCAGCTCCCACCACAGCACCCACACCCGCTCCCACGCCAGCACCCACACCAGCTCCTTCACCAGCACTCACACCAGTATTCAGAACTGCACCCACACCAGCAATCACACCAGCACCCACCACAACACTCAGAACTGCACCCGCACCAGCAATCACACCAGCAACAGGTGTACAGCCCTGCAAGTTTCCTGTCCGACCTGAGTGAGCCACACTTGTGCTCCCTGGGCTGAGATCTGAGTATGGGTCCTTTCTCTTAAGGATGTGACAGAGGCCAAATAGAGGCCGAGCTTGAGAGTGAGTGTATGTGCATGAATTGTTTGTAATGTTTCCAAATGTTTGCTGTATTGTTTTTGGACTGCCATGTTTGTATATGTATTTGTTGTTCTTATTGCTATTGTTATTATTAATTGAGATGGGTGAATTATTATATACCGAGTTGAAATGATCTTTATTGTTTTGTGAGGATTGTATGTATGATGCTGCATGTTTATTGAATAAATGCATTCAATGTAGCATACCTTAATGTTACTGCCAGTCTTTGGGAAGGACACACACTCCTTCTGTAGTTGGTCTCCTGGCGGCGGATTGTGGGTCCAATAATGGAGAGCAGTTGATCCATTTGTTCCACAGACATTCGGAAATATAGGAGATGTTTTTTGGGATAAATCCTTAGTTCAGCCACTAGGTGGTAGTAGGCTCCAAACTGCGCTCTTCTCTGGTTCATGGGGTGAATCCATGTTCTCGTCTTCCTCTGCCTTCCTCTGAGTCTCAACAGCAGAAGTACTGCAATGGCCTTTCTTTTAGCACGTTGACCTATAAAGGAAACATATGAAGTTTCAGAGAAATGTTGAATTTATCAATAACATAGTTTAGATACATTTTAGCAAAACAAATATGTTAACAAGGCAAATAATGATGCTATTTAAATCCGGTTGCTGTTGAATTGGCAGTTAAAAAACGTTTACTGACAAAATGAACGTATCTAAAGTTATACACGTATGTAACTTACCCATATTGCAATTGATGAGGAAAATACGATTAAACAAACAGGTAGGTGGAGCTTCAAGGTTGTTTACTCGTCTCTCGCCTGTCCCCAGAGAGCGTCTCTTCTCTGCTGCGCGTCGCTCCCGGTTGGTATACAAACGCTTCTCAGCAAGTGCGCTCGTCCGAGGAGAGCTACGCGTCACTCACTGCGCGTGCGGTGGGTACGGGGCGTAATGGAACTTGAGAGTGAGAAGGTGCTTGGCATACAAACAGTACAGGTATGTCTAATAATATTTTTTTGTCTCCATGCTCTTTCAATATTATTAATGTATTTATTTGATCCACAAGAGAAATTGCTTTGTCACAGTAGCTTGCATAGTATTCCACAATAATAACATGGGGCTTATCTCCAAAGGCCTCACACACATGTCAAAAGGTGAAAAATGCTATAAATCCATTGATCTATTTTTCTTAACAAGAAAATTACATGATAAAAATCAAAGACCTCCAATGATCAGGGACACTCCTTATAGTTTGCAGTCATGAAATCTGTTTCAAAATTCCCCTTTCAAAGAACTATTGCAAAACTGTTTCAGTGGAAATGAGGCTCCAGAATTCATCATTTAAAAACAGAGATAAATGAATGGGCTCATAGCTTGTCAGATTGTCTCCAGAAAAACGGACTCATCAACACTTCTGATTGACTTTTGATATTCTTCCTCTACTCTCAACAACTACAAGCCATCATCACAATCTGTTTTTTTTCCCTGCGGCTTTTCCTACTACTAAAATTACGTATGCGGCAGTCAACTCGACGAGAGGACTGCTATCATAACAGTAACCGTGTGGTTTCACAGGAGCAGTTGACTGCTTAAAACTGACTTTGAGAAAGTTTTGAATCATAACAATGAGCTCGCGCTCTCTGCTCGCCCTCCCCGCACGGAGCTTTCGCCCCCCTCAGCCTCTGCTCATGCTAATTGTATACAGAGCTCACGTCTCACAATATGGACACATTTGAACGTGGATGAAGTGACCATAGAATGATTGAACCGGGAAGCACAGAGGAACGACACTGTCTTTTGGATGGCTGTTTTGCTGTGTAAAGCCTAGTGTATACTTGCACGGCGCTGCTTACGTTAGCGGTTGCAGTGGACCTACGCAAGCACAATTTAATGTATACTCCTTGCGGATTTTTGAGGAGAATGTTGTAATCCCACAACTAACCACATGATGGCGATCTCACAAGAGTTGATTGAGAAACCAAAGCGGTCTCATTTACGCTGCTACTTTCTCCTCTTCAGAACAAAAACATGAACATACCGAGCTGTTTGAGATCATTACATGTGTTTCTACTGTAGGTTTATGTGACCGTTCTAAACTCATCGTTTCAACTCATTTAACTGTGATGCTGTGAATAAAGACACAGTTCTGTTGGAAACATAGTTATTATTAAATTGTATTCAGCACAAACAGCAAAACAATAAGTGGTAAATATCTGAGACAAACATGAACGATTCATAAGTGCAGGAGGAATGCAACAGACGCAGCTACGATTCAAACAAAGACAGGAACAGTTTATAAGTTATATATATGTTAGATATGCAACAGAACTCTAGTCCACAGTCTATATCAGGCTCTGCCATGAGCCCAAACTGCGTGAAGCAGTCTGCTGCATAGTGCCTCGTCCATGTTCCTGCAGCCGCTCCGTGCTTCCAATACACACACACACGGACCAATCACAGCGGAGCTTCCTTGTGGCGACCCCTACGTAGCTAGAAAATGTTTATGCTGCGCGGCAGGCGACGTAAGGGCCTTGCGGTGACCAACGCGTTGCGCAAGTGACGTCACGTCACCTCCGTAAGCTCCGCGCATGCGTATACACTAGGCTTAAGCGGTAACCGGTAACAAAGACACAGGAAGCTTCAGGTTAGCCTCTGCCCCTTGTTTCCCTCAGCTGTCTGTGCTAACAAGAGACCTGTAGCTTCTCTCAAGAAAGTGGGGGCCAGTGGTGCGCTGTGATTGGTCACATTCTGGTTCCGAAACAAATTCCCTTCGTTGTTTCACAAAAACGCGATCTAACATAAAGTGACACGTCGGCACAAATCTGCGCTACTTTTTCTTCAAAAGGACGTATATCCCAATGCACTGTTTGGATGTGGAGTGCATTTAAAGCTGCATTAACTGACTTTATTTTTGTATTCATTACTAAAGTGCTATCCATGTCCATGTAGTGCATTGGGATATATGTCCTTTTGAAGAAAAAGTAGCGCAGGTTTGTGCTGGCGTGACATTATATTTTAGATCGAGTTTTGATGAAACAAGGAAGAGAATGTGTTTCGGGTCGCAGATTGTGACCAATCAGAGTGCACCACTAGCCCCCACTTTCGTGAGAAATCTACAGGTCCGTTAGCATAGACGGCTGAGTTAGCACAACAAGCCGAGGAGTTAACCTGAAACTTCGTGTGTCTTCGTCACGGTTACTGCTTACACAGCGAGACAGCCATCCAAAAGAAAGTCCCGTTCCTCCGCACTTCCCGGTTCTATCATTCTATGGTCACGCCATCCACGTGCAAATCCATATCCATGTATTATCCATATTGCGAGACGCTAGCTACGTCCCAACAGTGGGTGTGTGTGGGGGGAGATAGCTTCGTGGGTGCGGGGAGGGGAGCAGAAAGACGAGAGGCCAGCGAGTCTGCGGCTACAAAATCCCAAAGTCAGTTAGCGCAGCTTTAAACTAAACTTAACACGAAACTTTGACTCTTAAAACCCACATCTCACAACACGGAACCATTAACATCTCGCCTCAAATTGCATTAAAAGTGAGTTTATTTTCATCCCTTTATAATCCATTTCTGGGTCAGGGGGTGGCAATCAGAGTTGCACCCAATTCACGTAGCACCAGTCCCTCGCTGATCCTCCGCAGGAAGATGGCTGCTCCATCAACACAGATACAGCCTTGATCTTTCAAGGCCGTATCTTGAGGCAAAGTGGGGTTAAGTGTCTTGCCCAGGGACACAAGACACACTGACAGCAGACATCAGTGGGAGCAGATGACATGGCCTACTGTCACCCCCAAAAAGTGACATTCGTATTTTAACTCTTTCTTAAACGTTTGCTTCGGCTGCCGTGAGGCACATGCACAAGTTTCCATTACATCATTAACAGCGGCACAACTGTTTTTTATAAATGATGTTGATTACAACTATTTTTGTTTTCTTAAAAAAGGTATTATCAGGAGGAGTTTCCAATGATTGGCAATTGTGCTCGCCACTTTTAGAACAAAACACTCTGAACAATGTTTAATTTGACGAAAATGTGTTTAAAAACAAAAACTCTGAAAGAGCAGTTTGTTCAAGGCCTATGTGTAGGAGAGAATTCAGGATATAAGTTGAATTCTGGACATTTTTTCAGTCTGCACACAGCATATCATTATAGAAGAAACCCTTTCTGGTGTGTGGGTGGCCCTGAAAAGGACCTTTGTTACTTTGTAAACTGCTTCGTTTACTTGGAGCTAGTGTACTTGGTCACGGCCTTGGTGCCCTCAGACACGGCGTGCTTGGCCAGCTCTCCTGGCAGCAACAGACGCACTGCGGTCTGGATCTCCCTGGAGGTGATGGTGGAGCGCTTGTTGTAGTGCGCCAGGCGGGAGGCCTCTCCGCCGATGCGTTCAAAGATGTCGTTGACGAAGGAGTTCATGATGCTCATTGCCTTGGAGGAGATGCCGGTGTCGGGGTGCACCTGCTTCAGCACCTTGTACACGTAGATAGCGTAACTCTCCTTCCTGCTCTTTCTCCTCTTCTTGCCGCCTTTGCCGGCGGTCTTGGTGACGGCTTTCTTGGAGCCCTTCTTGGGCGCGGACTTTGCTGGCTCAGGCATGTTGCTCTGCGAGTACAGACTGTCGGAGAGCGGGTCCGTGCGCTCTATTTATATTCGCGTCATGCAGAGCAGCTGCGCTGTTCCTCTCACGTGATTGGTCAGACCTCCCTCCCTTGGAGTTTCTCTCCTTTTCGCTCTTTCTGGGCGATGACACGGACACAGGACAAAGAAAACTGCGGGAGAGCGTTAGAAAAAGCAAAAAACAGTGGAACTCCTCTAGGTTTATGGGAATATTTAGAGACATGGCATATAATAAGTGGAGTTTAAAACACTGATTTAAACAACTAAAATGACCTCGTGCTCAAGTCACTATCGTACAAATTCAAATAGACACAAATGTTACAATTACTGTTACAGGTCGCTGGAGCAAGGAACTACTGGTTAAGTCATTAAATAAGTTTGTCTTAGTTGTCACGACAGAAGTTTAGTCTCTGTGTGGGGGTGGGTGACTCTTAAAAGAGCCGTTGTATTTGGTGATGAGCCATTTCCCCATCCTCTGGTTGCAGTTGTGACCCACACAAATTGTTTGTACAAAATGCGTTTTATTTAACCTTTATTATACCAGGAAGTCCCTAGAGATAAAAGCTCTTTCACGAGGGAGACCTTGCCAAGAACATCTTGGCAACAAGCAAGCAATATAAAAAATGTTGATCAATTGCGAAGGTTCTCCTTTTTTGGAGTGGGTGGCTCTTAAAAGAGCCGTTGGTGTTCGTTGTAGTGCCGTGTTTAACCTCCGAAGCCGTACAGGGTGCGGCCCTGTCGCTTCAGGGCGTACACCACGTCCATGGCGGTCACGGTCTTCCTCTTGGCGTGCTCGGTGTAGGTGACAGCGTCACGGATCACGTTCTCCAGGAAAACCTTGAGCACTCCGCGGGTCTCCTCGTAGATCAGACCGGAGATACGCTTCACACCGCCGCGGCGAGCCAGACGGCGGATAGCGGGCTTGGTGATGCCCTGGATGTTGTCACGGAGAACTTTGCGGTGACGCTTGGCGCCTCCTTTCCCGAGTCCCTTTCCTCCTTTTCCTCTCCCGCTCATTTTGACAGTTTAGTGGTATAACTCTCAGATGAGGTCAGAGAACTGCGCTGCTGAACTTGTAAGGCATCTACGGACGTGGCTGAAGACTGCGGAAAGATGGCCGTTATTTCGGAGAGGCGCATACGCGGGGCCCCTCCCCGCGCATAACGGAGCCGGCCATTTCACAGTCACTATGTTTCTACACAAACAGGACGTTTACGTGAGGAACAATAATTATGAGGGGGAAAAAAAAAAATTGGCTCGGCTCCGCTCTTTACAGGACAGGGCCAGTGTCATTTGTGGTCAAACTTTAAAGGTCCTAGGAGTTATTAACGCCTTTGTTCATAGTATATTATGTAGATGTTTCCTTACAGACCGTAGAGAAGATGGTTTCTTCAATAGTTCAGGAGCATTTGCAGTAGTAGTAGTTGTAAGTAATCTTTATTTATATACCGCCTTTTCACTGCAGATCTGAGTCTCAAAGCTTCAAAACAATTGTTAATTTTTTGGGCATTTGTCTCTCACTCCACACAGAGATGGGAGCAGGGTCGCCAGTATAGGAGGCCCATGCCAGAACTATTGGACATATTTTTTAGTGGTAGGGGTACCGGAGTACCCGGAGGAAAGCTACGCAGACACGGGGAGAACATGCAAACTCCACTCAGAAAGGCCTGGTCTGACCAGGATTCGAACCCAGGACCTTCTTGCTGAGAGGCGAGAGTGCTATCCACTCAGCCACCGTGCCGTCACTATGAATGACTGCAATGTGAAGGACTTCACAGCAGTGTCTGTGTTTCATTCATCTTTTTAATTCACATTTATTTGTAGAGCGCTTTTCCTGCACAGAAGAACACAAAGTGCGTTGCAGCTTTGTGCTTTATCACTATGAAGCCGTAACTCATAAACATTAAAATCACAGGACATTACAACCATTCAACCCAGCCTCTGGAACACTGCCACTGGACCTGCGACACCCTCACTGTTTCAAATCACAAAACCTACCTTTTTAAATATATTCCATTCTGTACTTTTAATTGTGTGCCTTAATACATCGGTTCCATTATTATCAACCAAATCAAAGGGAACACGAATATGAATAACCACAGTGCAAAAGTAGACATAAGATCCTTCAGTTATACGCGCAGGCAAACGTGTTCAACCTGGAGCTCTGTTTCAGAAATAATTCCAAATGATTCTCTGACTGGGTCTTCAAGTCCCGATTTCGTTTCTGTGAATATCCCACCACTGTATTCAACAAAACGAAAAAGGAATAAAAACAAACTGAAGGGTAAAGAAAAAAGAGTTGATAAAAGGTCCTCTCCCAACAAAAACACTTAATCTCCTTTGTGAAACTTGCCTCGTGGAACATCTGCGGTATTCAATCGCCTGCTAATAGACAAAAGAAAATCGGGTATTTGTTGAAAACGAACTTTGACTTTTTATTCATTCAAGAAATGAGACTGAAAACGTTTGATGATGTGAATAATGTGTGTAATCTCTGGACCAAAGGGAACTGTATCGTGTCTATTGGAGAGGACAGTGCAGATGGAGTCGGTATTTTATGTAAAAATGATGTTGATATTATTAAGAAGAGAGAAATTATTCCAGGGAGACTATTAATGGTCGACTGTGTGTTTAATAATGAAAAAATGAGACTCATAAATGTGTATACTTCACAACAATTCCACAAAAAATGTAAACTTTTGAGAAGATTGAATGAAATTTTAAATGTTAATTTTACAACTATTATATGTGGGGATTTTAACATAATAACCGAAGAAAAAGACCGTATCGGGAGCACAACTCATAAAATAAGAAAAGAAGGAAATGTTTTACTTAAAATCAGCAGTGAAAATGGTTTGAAAGACGCATTTAGAACTCTGTACCCAAACGACTATGGCTTCACCAGGTTTGACTCAAAAGTCAAAACTAGAATAGACAGAATCTACACATCCAGTAACGTAACAATAATGTCTTATAAAACCATTCTGACCGATCTCTCTGATCACCTCATTGTTTGTTCTAATGTTTGCTTTGGTCCAGTTGAACACAAAGGTTTCTGGAAACTCAATGTTAGCTGTTTAAAATATCCGGAGCTAATTAATGAACTCAAAGAGGAAATAGTGGTCATCACGCAGCTGAAAATATTATCTAAATCCAACATTGAACTGTGGGAACTTTTAAAAAGTAGAGTCACAAAATTCTTCAAATTTAAGTGTAAAGAAATTAATAAATGTAAAAATGATATCTACAATGAGTTGGTGACAGAGTTTATAACATTAAAGCAGCGTAAAGACGCTTCCCTTGAAGACGAGGTCAGAATAAAAGATGTAAAATCACAAATTAACGACATTAATGCTGAGCTCTTGTTTAATGTTTTTAAAAGTGCTCAGGTCGATGGACAGTGCAACACCACTCAAGCCTTAAAGTCAGGTAAAGAAAATATAAAAAATAAATACATTGAAGCAGTTAAAGACCTCTCTGGTAATGTCATTTATAAAGAAAGAGAGAAAAGAATACTGATCAGAAATCTGCTTTCAGACTCTTACAGAGACATCAGAGTTGACCCTGAGTCTGTGAGATCTATGTTAGAGCTGTCACCTCCAGACTGTGACGTCAGCTCTGTACTCGGAGAAGTCACTAAAGAAGAGGTACTTAGTGCCATTAAAGAACTCAACTCAGGTAAAAGTCCAGGTCCTGACGGACTGCCCACAGAGTTTTATCAATTATATCTAACCAACGTAATTGATTTATTGACTGCTTATTTTAATGAAGGTCTAAAGAAAGGTAGGATGGGGGAGTCCTTCTACCAGGGAGTGATGTGTCTCCTGTATAAAAAGGGTGAGAAACAGGACATTAATAATAATAGACATCTCACCCTGATGAACACTGATTATAAAATTTTAGCCAAAGTATTAATGAACCGCATGAATGACGTCCTAGAGGACGTCATAGAGAAACAGCAGACGTGTGCCATCAGAGGCCGTCTCATGTGGGACAATGTGTGTGCGCTGCGTGAACTCCTTTACAAAGAAAAGGATAACCAGAACTTTTATATTGTTGGTCTGGACCAAAAAAAAAGCCTTTGATTTTGTTTCGCGAGACTATTTGTGGGCTGTCCTGTCCAAATATGGCTTTCCCACAGATTTGATCAATATGGTAAAATGTCTATATTTTAAAACCACTGTACAAGTAAATGTGAACGGAGTTTTAACTGAACCTCTGAACGTTCACCGCGGAGTGAAGCAGGGCTGCCCGCTCAGTGCTGCGCTCTATGTTTTAGCAATAAACCCATTACTCACTTTGATCAAATCCAGTCCCATCATCAAAGGAGTCGAGCTCACTCCTCACAACAATATAAAAACATTAGCGTATGCAGACGACGTCACGGTGATAATTCAGCATCAGTCAGAACTCGATGAACTCTATACAATCATACAGCTATATGAGCAATCCTCTGGTGCAATCCTGAACCACAACAAGTCTGAGGCAGTGTGGATCGGAGAGGCAACGGGAAGAGTCCCTTTAAATATCACCACAAGGGACGAAATAAAAGTTTTGGGGATTATTGTTTGCAACAATGTCTTAGAACGGAACTGGGAAATCAAAACAAATTTGCTCCAAGAAGAAATTAAAAAATGGGAAAACAAAAAATTATCCTATCAACTTAAAATAAATATTATAAAATGTTATGTTATTTCAAAATTGTTGTTTTTAGCGACTATCTTTCCACCCACTAACAAATGTATGATAAAACTTAATAAAATGTGTGTTAATTTTATATGGAGCACCACGAGAGAAGTCACTAAGAGGGAACTACTTTTTAAAGATAGAGCCTTAGGTGGCCTCGGAGCAACAAATTTAGACATAAAACTTACTTTAGCCTTTGTTAAAAATGTATCTTCAGCCTCGCCCGTGGAGCTCCGTGGGTCGGAGAACTGAGCATGTGGAGGAAGAGGGTGGGCGCGCTCGGAAAGGGCCTTATTATAAACTAATGTTTGGTGATTTTACTCACAAGAACCCTTTTGATTTTAATGGTCTCACATCAAAAATGTTGTATTGTAAAATGTGTGATAAACTGTATGGTGATCCTGTGTTGCTAAAAGAATGTAACAGTAGTGAATCACAATATGTTGTAAAACTTTTAAACAAACCCCAGGAACAGACCATCCGGGACTCGCGGTGGCTCATGGCCGTGAACAGACTCTCAGTAAGAGCCGTAGTGTCGTGGAGCTGCTACGTTACAACCAAGTCATGCCCAATGCCAAACTGCTATAATGACGAGACTCTGGATCATTTACTCATGCACTGTTACCGCTCACAGGAAGTATGGACTCTCTTACAGACTCTCGGACTCACCATTTCTCTCACTTATCGCTCCATTATATACGGACTATTTCAAGAAACTCTCCCCCCACATCAGCAAGAACTCTTCCAACTAATCATTGCAATATCTACAGTTCAACTCTGGAAAACACGTACAAAAATGACAATATCACACACTTTCATTGACAGTAATACAACATACAAACACATTATCACACAACTCAAACGACAACGGAATAATTCACCTCACCTCCCATGGGACGTTTTGCACTTCTAAAAATGTAAATAATTATCTGTAAATATTGTTATTATCATTGTTGAAATTATTCATTGTTATTGTATTTAAACTTAAATAAAGACCCTTAAAAAAAAAAAAGAAAAGGAGGAAAGGGACTCGGGAAAGGAGGCGCCAAGCGTCACCGCAAAGTTCTCCGTGACAACATCCAGGGCATCACCAAGCCCGCTATCCGCCGTCTGGCTCGCCGCGGCGGTGTGAAGCGTATCTCCGGTCTGATCTACGAGGAGACCCGCGGAGTGCTCAAGGTTTTCCTGGAGAACGTGATCCGTGACGCCGTCACCTACACCGAGCACGCCAAGAGGAAGACCGTGACCGCCATGGACGTGGTGTACGCCCTGAAGCGACAGGGCCGCACCCTGTACGGCTTCGGAGGTTAAACACGGCACTACAACGAACACCAACGGCTCTTTTAAGAGCCACCCACTTCAGAAAAGGAGAACCTTCGCAATTGATCAACATCGTTTTGTCCCTATCTTTTTATATTGCTTGCTTGTTGCCAAGATGTTCTTGGCAAGGTCTCCCTCGTGAAAGAGATTTTATCTCTAGGGACTTCCTGGTAAAATAAAGGTTAAATAAAACGCATTTTGTACAAACAATTTGTGTGGGTCACAACTGCAACCATAGGAGGAGAAATGGCTCATCACCAAATACAACGGCTCTTTTAAGAGTCACCCACCCCCACAAACTAAACTTCTGTCGTGACAACTAAGACAAACTTATTTAATGACTTAACCAGTAGTTCCTTGCTCCAGCGAACTGTGACAGAGTAATTGTAACATTTGTGTCCATTTGCATTTGTACGATAGTGACTTGAGCACGAGGTCATTTTAGTTGTTTAAATCAGTGTTTTAAACTCCACTTATTATATGCCATGTCTCTAAATATTCCCATAAACCTAGAGGAGTTCCACTGTTTTTTGCTTTTTCTAACGCTCTCCGCAGTTTTTTTTGTCCTGTGTCCGTGTCCTCCCCCAGAAAGAGTGAAAAGGAGAGAAACTCCAAGGGAGGGAGGTCTGACCAATCACGTGAGAGGAACAGCGCAGCTGCTCTGCATGACGCGAACATAAATAGAGCGCACGGACCCCCTCTCCGACAGTCTGTACTCGCAGAGCAACATGCCTGAGCCAGCAAAGTCCGCGCCCAAGAAGGGCTCCAAGAAAGCCGTCACCAAGACCGCCGGCAAAGGCGGCAAGAAGAGGAGAAAGAGCAGGAAGGAGAGTTACGCTATCTACGTGTACAAGGTGCTGAAGCAGGTGCACCCCGACACCGGCATCTCCTCCAAGGCCATGAGCATCATGAACTCCTTCGTCAACGACATCTTTGAACGCATCGGCGGAGAGGCCTCCCGCCTGGCGCACTACAACAAGCGCTCCACCATCACCTCCAGGGAGATCCAGACCGCAGTGCGTCTGCTGCTGCCAGGAGAGCTGGCCAAGCACGCCGTGTCTGAGGGCACCAAGGCCGTGACCAAGTACACTAGCTCCAAGTAAACGAAGCAGTTTACAAAGTAACAAAGGTCCTTTTCAGGGCCACCCACACACCAGAAAGGGTTTCTTCTATAATGATATGCTGTGTGCAGACTGAAAAAATGTCCAGAATTCAACTTATATCCTGAATTCTGTCCTACACATAGGCCTTGAACAAACTGCTCTTTCAGATTGTTTTTTGTTTTTAAACACATTTTCGTCAAATTAAACATTGTTCAGAGTGTTTTGTTCTAAAAGTGGCGAGCACAATTATTACCAATAATTGGAAACTCCTGATAATACCTTTTTAAGAAAACAAAAATAGTTGTAATCAAGATCATTTATAAAAAAAAGAGTTGTGCCGCTGTTAATGATGTAATGTAAACTTGTGCATGTGCCTCACGGCAGCCGAAGCAAACGTTTCAGAAAGAGTTAAAATACGAATTAAGACACAAATGTCACTTTTTGGGGGTGACAGTAGGCCATGTCATCTGCTCCCACTGATGTCTGCTGTCAGTGTGTCTTGTGTCCCTGGGCAAGACACTTAACCCCACTTTGCCTCAAGATACGGCCTTGAAAGATCAAGGCTGTATCTGTGTGGATGGAGCAGCCATCTTCCTGCGGAGGATCAGCGAGGGACTGGTGCTATGTGAATTGGGTACAACTCGGATTGCCACCCCCTGACCCAGAAATGGATTATAAAGGGATGAAAATAAACTCACTTTTAATGCAATTTGAGGCGAGATGTTAATGGTTCCGTGTTGTGAGATGTGGGTTTTAAGAGTTTCGTGTTAAGTTTAGTTTAAAGCTGCGCTAACTGACTTTATTTTCGTATTCATTAGTTAAATGCACATCCAAGCAGTGCATTGGGATATACGTCCTTTTGAAGAAAAAGTAGCGCAGATTTGTGCCGACGTGTCACTTTATGTTAGATCGAGTTTTTGTGAAACAACGAAGGGAATGAACAGATTGTGAATTTGTTCCTTTCTCAGTGAAAGATCTGAGAAAGGTGACACTGCTATCTACAGGCAAACCCTAGAAACACCTTCCAGTGTATAGTTGCATAATGTTAAGTTTTTTTTCCACATCACATAAGGACAGCCTTCAATTCACTGTCCCATATGTACACACTCTCTGCACAACAGGTAGAGCTCTCTAGTGCGCGTGTTCGCGCGGTTTTCATCTAAGTACAACTTGAGTCTAGTGTACGCCTCGTCATCCAAGGGACAGTTAAACTCTGGGACCACAACAACACCGTCAGCATCAGGTGTGTAGTCATCCCAGTCGATATCGGGCTCTTGAATGTCCTGGGATTAAGACAAAACAATGTACATTTACTAAATGTTGGGTATAATCCAAAGGTTAGGAAGGAATAACTATCTAAATGAATGACATAATAAAAGATTTACCTGGAGGTTCTCTGGCTGGTTTACTGGGTTACACATAAGTCCGAAGCGCCACAACTGCTCTGGTGTTTTGGGTCTTTTCTGTACGAAGTGGATGATTGTTCCAACCTTCCACAAATGCCTGCAGGTCTGCATTGAGTTGTGGAAGGAATGTTTGGTGAACAGAGAACAGGTCTTCTGTAGACAGACAAAATAAACACATGAATAAATGAAATTGGCCAAGAAATAAAAATTGGTAATAACGTCTTTCAGAACCTTGAGAGGACACATCAAGAAGCTGCTCTCTCTCCAAGCTGTGAAGTGTATAAGACGAGATCACACTTATCCTGACATCCCGCCATAAACGCTCAATTCTAGAAACAAATGTTAAATGAAAATTAAAGTTAGGTATGATTACATCAAAGTATGTACTTGATTAAGATGCATTTTACCTTTGATTATGCACACTTTTTCCTGAAATAAAACTTCCTCGATCAGTCCCTCGAACATTGAACATAAACCGTGCTATATCCACATTCTCCACACCCTGGTCACCTCTGACCCTAAGCAGAAACATTGTTGAATGTTACATTGCCACTCTGTCTGTGACAAGAGGGCACACCATGTTGCTCAGTTGCCTGTTTGAAGGATGAAAACGCAGTAGAAGCACGGTTGTTGTTTGAAGCTTGTAGACACATTACCTAACAACATAATGGTCACACATTGAGCCTTTAATTAGCTACTTTCAAAAGTCAAGAGGTACAGCAAACTTACTTTCCTGGAGTACCCATCCACAGCGCCAAAAAGAATTATGTTGAATCTGTTGGACATATGAAACAATTATAGTGCACATGCACAAGTTTCTTATTTTTAACAAGCAATTAAGAATAGTCACCTAATTAGCTTATGGTTTGTGTCGACATGCCATAGTGACAGTGGGCCTCTCACAGAGTATGTTCTTCGAACTATACAGCCCATTCCCATCAATCTTGATAAAATTCCAATAGAGTCAACACGGTGCATTGAAGCAGTTATTCTTCGCCACTGCACACAGATGCCTTGTGACATAAGTCTGCCTTTTACCATCCGATACCCTGCAGTGGGCATTTCACTCTTTGCAAGTTTCACTGCATCATCCAGTGCTTCATCCGAAATGTCACTGTATCGCTGTCTGGCAGCCAAACGGAAGTCACTCATCCTTCTTTGAATTGTCCTGGGTGAAACACCCAATAACCTTGCAATACTATTTACAGGTAAATTCATGTCCAGAAGCTCCAGAAGTCTTTCCTCCTCAATGTGGTACCTTGGACGTCCCGTTTCTCCAACTATAGTCTCCACAGTGGTACCTGTCGCTGTGTTTTGAAAATCACTGTGTGATATAACAGCTGCAAGAATGTCCCTTAATGCATGCAAGAGTTCTGGCTGGATATCAACATGCCTAGCCAGTGCCTCCCAGAGGTACAGTTCCTGACGGCATGCAAACTCCAAAAAGTCAAGGTCAATGGGCATCCTTCCCAGGGCTAACTCCAATTTTGACTGGAGTCTGGTCATGAGCTCTTGTCGCAAAAAGCCCTAGAACAAAGGACACTTGGTTTGAGTAACTTATATTCATCTAGAGTAGACATTCGTAAATTAGCTGTTCTTTTTCAGACATACATACATGGATATTCGGAGGTCCTGCAACAGCCATCTCAGTCAGGAAAAGTGGTGGTGGTTTGTTGGTCTACACACAAATTTAAAAACGATCATATGTTTATACATACTAAGGCTACAATGACATTATAAACATTAACATGCCTGTTCAGTAATCATGGATAATCATGGAGGATACAGTAGAAATACTGTACTTATAGTAAAGTGAGTCCTGGTCAAACATCCCTCAAATAGTCAAAGTTGTTCACTAAATTATTACTTATGTTAATATGAGACAACTTAAGTAATCATAGCAAGTATACACTGAGCAGAGGTACTCTTTTAGGCAACCTTCAAACTAGCACCAAAGTGACACAATTTGTTTTGCCCCATAATGACCTGCCGCTCACCTTAGTTTCTACAAACGGCAACAGTACAAAACTACCTCCCTCCTAAAATATAGTCATACAAATGTTTTTTGTTTAAAACTGTCTTTCCATAGCTAACATCGCGCCGGTGTCCCAATCGTTGCTTGTTTGCCCATGTCCATCATTTTAATTAATCAATTGATAGTAACTAAGTTCTTCTCATTTTTAACTGAAATTTAGTAGAAAACTAATTAAATAAAGGACGTAGTCTACATTGTAATATGTTTATATATCAAATAAATATAAAACGCTCACCAAGTGTTCGTCTTCTGAACCAAATCTTCTAACCGCGGGAATTCCTGGAAAGCAGTGGCCCCGCCCCCAAGCGACAAAAGTATATTTCACGCGCGCGTAGAAGAGATGGCAAAAGTTTTCAACGCGAGCAGAACACAGACCACGAGCAGGGAGAAGGCATTTCACGAACGCACACACGCGCGTATTGTTGCTCCTGGTACTGAATCTGCGTGTGTGTGGGGTGAAATATGCGCGTGGAGAGTGGTTTGCGCGCGTGTGAATTAAATAAAGCTGCACGTGTATGTATTATTTGCGCGTGTGGACTTTTGGCGTAAATCTGGCGCCATACAGAGGCCTGGATATGCACAGGGTGCAACAGGGGATGGGAGGGCGAAGAGCCAGTGAGGCGGCTTCATCTGTAAAGGACAAGCTGTGCACCTTCTTTTCACAGAACCCATTGTAGTTTATAGAAATCTTTGCAAATGAAATGTAAATTTTAAAATGTGTTTGTTTTTTATAATACAATTGCTTGTTGTGACCTTGTTTGTTTTGATGTCAATGTAACATTAAACATTGACTTGTTATTTTTATATTGATGAGTCGTTAGTTATTTTCAACTGCACTCTAAATATGTAAAAGTCCTATGAGTATATAACCGGAAAATGGCTATGGTGAGCGGTGCTATGCCCGCGGAACTCCTCTAGATGGAGCCAGCTGCATAATTAGCTGATCACAACTTTTCGTACCATTCCGTATATACGTATACTTCATAGCACTATCTATCACTATCTATAGCCTACAGCTGTGTCCCCCCGGAAAAAATGCCCACAGCTGTGACCCCGGGGAAAAAAGCCCCCTACGTCATCTCCATATACAGACAAATGCGGTGGGAAATGTGCTTCATGTATTGTACACAGTGACAAGAATATGGACATGGGGTGTCTTCAAAGCACAAACATGTTTCCCATGTGTTTTGACTGGTAGACACGTCACTGTGCGAGCAAAAATACGCGAGTGTCCTATTTTGGCGGGCTTGCTGCGCAGCTTGCTGCGCTGCGCTTCTCGTGCTGTGGGTAGGGTCCTCGCTGATAACATGGGCGCGTACTTCAAATCTGCGCAGCGCGCCGCTGCGCAACTCTCCGCGCTTCACAAGACGCGTGCGGTGGGTATAGGGTTAGTGTGTAGCTGTTATACTTGGCACAGTGTCCTAAAAGCATTGGAAAAACTTTATATGCAAAGTAAAATATTATACTGATATTACTTCTTGAAATCCTAATGGGCCAAGGACAACATCAGTGGATCCAGAAGAATTTGAATTGCCAAACACAACAACTTCGGTTTTACTTTCGTTAAGTTTAAGAAAGTTAAGAGCTAACCATGTTTGAACATCCTGGAAACACTGCAGCAGGGCAGGAGTGCTGCCCGATTTAAGGGTATCTGCAGATCATCTACAAAGCAGTGGAAGGCGATTTTGTACTTCTTAAAAATGTTTCCAAGAGGTAACATATACAGTGAAAACAAAACAGGACCTAAAACCGAGCCTTGTGGAACTCCACAGGTCAGAGGAGCCGTACTAGAGGAGTGAGGCCCCAGATGTACAGAGAAGGACCTGTTCTCCAAATAGGACTTGAACCATTGTAGAACTGTGCCTTTAAGGCAAACATATTGTTCCAGACGAGATATCAAAATGATATGATCAACAGTGCCAAAGGCTGCAGTTAAGTCAAGGAGCACAAGCACAGCAGGATTACCCAAATCAACTGTTAAAATTAGGTAATTAAAAACCCTCAAGAGGTTGAAGCCAGATTGAAACTTTTCATAGATTCCGTTTACTTCAAGGTATGTCTGAAGTTGGACATACACAAGCTTGTAATACCTTGTAATTAGACAAGGTATTTTGGTCAAGAGTATGCTTCTTGAGAAGCGGCTGAACAACAGCGTGTTTAAAAGCAGCAGGGACACAACCAGATGGTATTTAAAACCTTCAGCAAATATGGACCAATGACATCAAATACAGACTTGAGAAGTCTGGGAGGAATGCTATCTAGTGGACACTCAGAGGGTTTCAGACGTGGCATTATAAGTGCTCAATTAAGTGAGTGAAACTGGCTCAAATTCATCAAGGTTTGCAAGACACAAATGGGATGAAGATGGATCCCAAGCAAGATATAGTTGACGCTCTAATATCAGCCAATTTGCCGACAAAAAATGAAAGAACGTTTTCACACAGTTCATCAGAAAACACATTAGCAGGAAAATCAAAAGGATTGACAATACGATTTAAAACATTGAATAAGACCTTGGGTCTATGACTGTTGTTGGAAACATTGCTGGACATATCTTGGGCTTTAGCATCTTTAACAGCACTTTGATACTTCGCTAAGCAGTCTCTAAGGGTGTATTCAGACCTGAAAAGTCCTTTGCTCCGCTTGCTTGATCCGAATCAAAAGCGGCCAAACTTTTTTCTTTTGCTCCGGTTCGTATTCAGACTGTACTTTTTGCAAGTGAACTTTTTATATAAACATATCGACGCGTGTGACGATCGGCGCTCCTATTGGACAGCGAGAGCTCACGGAGAATGAATACGGAAATGGAGGAAAACATTCAGCTCGCACGTGCAGCATGTCTGCTCTGCTTTTGTTTGCTCTTTTTAGAACAAAACTACCTTCAACTACAACAGCAGCTCATCAGACATAGGCGAAACGCGCTGTTTCAAATTTTGGAACAGCGTCGGAGAATGTGTGCTGTCGAAAGCCGAAGGAGACTCTGTGCGCTACGTGTCCTGTCCCACAGCATACAGACAGCAGCATTGTGGATAAACAGACGACAGAGGATCAGGTATGAACCAAAGAACACAATTCACTACATGATACGGGATATTGCTTTTGAGACGCGAGTCAAACAGTGTCAGGCTTTTAATAATGCAAATGATTTGAAGATACTACCATTAACATCACTGTATACTGTGAACAATGTTAACTCCATAAGCCTGTTGCAAACAAGTTTTTTCTTTCAGCTCTGACTGCTCCCAAAATGTAGCCCATCACAAGAACTATCTCTTTAGGCAAAAAATGAGAAATATATGTATATATACATTTATATATGTGCTTGTGTGTGTATGTATATATATATATGTATTTAAATGTTTTGTATGTATGTAAGACAGAGACATACACAGGGTCTAAATTGTATTTAAGTTTGATCGATAATGTATCGCTGTAGTTTATGTACTGTATGTACGCTGTTTATTTAGCTCATGTCCTCCTACTTCTTAATATGACACTTTTTCTTATTTTTCAGGACAACCTGGGTCTACCCACGATGCCAGGAATGGTGGCAACTCATTCAAAGAACATGGACAGACAGAGACTGGTTAAACAACTTTAGAATGAGAAAAGACACTTTTCACACTCTCTGTGGAATTCTACGCCCCTATTTATCTCGAGAGCACACAAGGTACCGAAGACCTCATTCTGTGGAGATCCGTGTGGCAATTTGTTTGTGGAGACTTGCCACTAACCTGGAATACAGGTCCATCTCGCACCTTTTTGGAGTTGGCACATCCACACGCTGCGTTATCACTCAGGAAGTCATTACAGCAATAAATACAACTCTAAAACCACTTTACTTAAAAACTCCCTCTGCAGCGGACTTAAAAAAATATCGCAAGGATTCAAAGATAAATGGAGATTCCCACAAGTTGTTGGAGCCATTGATGGAACCCATGTGCCAATCAAAGCCCCCACAAACACACCAGCAGACTACTTTAATAGAAAGGGCCAATATCCTCCAGGCAGTTGTGGACAACAAAATGAGAATATGGGATGTTAACATTGGGCAACCGGGACGAGTACATGATGCTCGAGTTTTTGCACTGTCCTCTCTTTTTGATCAGGGCCAGAGGGGGGAAATCTTTCCACAATGGACTGAAAGAATTGAAGGAGTTGAGGTTCCCCTCATGATACTAGGTGATGCAGCATATCCGTTACTCCCGTGGCTTATGAAGCCATTTCGTGAGAGCAGAGATATTGCTGTTGCACAAAGCAACTTCAACTACAGACTCAGCCAGGCACGAATGATAGTGGAAAGAGCTTTTGGGCGTCTTAAAGGACGCTGGAGATGCCTCCTTAAACAAAATGAATCACACATCTCTCTCATTAGTGAAATTACATCGGCATGCTGTGTGTTGCATAATTTTTGTGAAGTTCATCATGAGGAGTATATAGAAGAGGAGGAAAACGTACAACCGGAACATGATTGTGAAGCAGATGTAGAGCATCCTCTACAGGTTGGAGACCGTAGGGGCCGTGACATCAGAGATGCTCTGTCGGTTTATTTTTCAAGATTCTAAAAAGAATCATTTGTCTGTATAAAGTGAAATTGTTGTTGTTAACACACTTTGTTCAAATACAGTAGTTGCAGTGGTACAGAACTTTATTGTTCACATATTGGCACTTTTTAATAAAAATAAAACAAATCAGTGCCAAGTATTAAAAAAATGCTGTTGCAAAAATAACTTCAAGTGCACATATTTCAAGTTCCAGAAGTAACAAAATAAAGGACAATCTTATTGTCATATAATTTTTGTTGTCTTTATACATTCTTTCTCGTCTTGTGCAAAATAACTAAACTTGTAAACTGTAAACTTTCTGTTGAACATTCTGATGAAACAGTCAACTGCCCGGACATTTGAACTAAAGCCCACAATGATAAACATACCTGTGCAAATAAATTATCTACAGGTCATGAAAATGCTGACTGTAATGAACTTGTTGCAGTATGTTTGTGTAAGCCCTCAGTCGTACAGGGATTAGTCAAAGCAAAGGAAGGTTTCTCACCCATCATCTGTACAGATGATGGGTGAGAAACCTTCCTTTGCTTTGTTGCAGTATGTCTGACACTTGTTGGTTAGCTGGTGACACATTTTGTTCCTCCCCATCTAGTTTGACGGTGGGTGATTGCATGGGTGGTGTATGGCACTGCTGGGACACTGGGGACTGAAGAATGGACCATGTGCTGCTCGGTGTGGATCTGGTTGGAGTAGACCTGGATGAGGCAGTTGGAAGCCAGTGAGTTAGAGCAGGTGCTTGTGGAGGGTGATATTGGGTGTGTTGTGAAGGATGATTTTGTGCTTGACTACTAAATGACAGCATATTAACAACAGTACCCATTATCTGACTGATCATCTGTGTATGTGCCTGTTGTTGTGCTTGTATCATTTGGAATCTTTTATCCTCTGCCTCCTGCTGTGCTTTTAGAAGACTCTCCAGAGCTGTACTCTCCTGCGTTTGACGGTTTTGCTCAGCTTCAAACATCTGTTGCAGCTGTTTGGTTTGCTGGGCAATATAAGCCTGCAACCCACAGTCAGACGTTGAAGCTTCAGCTTTGCGCTTCCTTCCCAAGTGCCTCCTTGCCTGAACACCACGGATAGCCTGCCTTTCTTTCTTTGTTTCATCACAGCTGGGTGCAGCACTGTGGTCCTCTCCATCAGTGGTGTCATCTGGAGGTGCTGCAGTTTCCTTGTGATCTATGAAATATACACAAAAGCATTACAGTGCAGCAAAAATTAAGCTTTTTATATTACTCCTCTACAGTTAGGTTTGTTGTACTTTTGTTATTGTTATCACATACCTACAAAAAAATCTAGCTAAATTACACATTATAGATGGAAAACAGCAATGTGATACTTATTTTGGAAACAACTGATCACAAAAGCCAGTCAAAGCCCCATCAAAAGAAATAGAAATAAATATGAGGCTTACACGGACAATAAAAGGTATTAAAAACACGTACCATTAACCTCTGATTCACCGGAGCTGATGGCAGATGTGTTTTCTGCGGATGAAGGCTCGTCCGCTGTGTTTGTTTCTATTATGTCCACGGGACATACGGTTGGTCTTGTTCCTAATATTTTATCGAGTTCGTCATACCAGGGACATTTGTCTTTTTCTTCTCCAGAACTCCCACTCTTCTTCAATGCGTCTCGCACCTTCATATAAGTTTGGCGAAGTTTCTTCACTTTGACGCGGCATTGGTCCTGAGACCGCTCATAGCCCCTCTCCTTCATTTTCTCGCTAAATATTTGGAACACCACCGCATTTTTGTGTGTTTTTTCAAGAAGTTGAATTATATTTTCCTCTGCCCAAATTTCAAGGAGGCACAGTGTCTCCTCGCTGCTCCAGGTCTGCCCACGGCTCATTGTTGTTGATAGCATGCGTTAGCAGCTGTGACGTGGGGCTAATTCCTCACAGTTCCCGTCTACGGTGGCTTGTTAAGCCCAAAAAATGCGCACGTATCCTGGAGTTGTGTCGGATCGACACCGGATGTATTCAGACCTGAATCGACTTGGACCAGAATTCGTTTGGAAGCGGACCGAGACCACCTAAAAAAGTGGGTCTCGGTCCGGTTCTTTGGTCCGGACCAGGATTCGTTTGTGTGTATTCAGACCTGCATAAAAGATTCGGATCAGAGTTCCAAACGAATCCTGGTCCGTTTAAAGTGGAGTAAATGGGCAGGTCTGAATACACCCTTAGAAATCCCAGAGAGACAGGAAGTTTGTCTTTTTCCATCTCTTTTCGGCACGCCTACAGTCGCGTGTTAACGCACGGGTGGTGTCATTGAGCCATGGTTCAGTCATAGGCTTTTCCCGGAAACACTTAAAAGGGGCAATAGTATCCAGTATGTCTGTGCTTTTTAGATTAAAAATGTTAGTGAGTTCATCAGTGTCTGTGCTTGGATTGCTCAGATAAAAGGCAAACATGCTTTAAAAGCCTCCGAGAATTGTGCTGCCGTAGTGGAGCTAAGGGCGCGCAAAATAGGCATGTGGTCAGAGATGCCTATATCACATATTTCTTCAATAATAATAGTAAGGTGGCAGTACGGTGGCTGAGTGGATAGCACTCTCGCCTCTCAGCAAGAAGGTCCTGGGTTTGAATCCCGGTCAGATTATACAGTACAATCTGACAGCAGCAGGAAGGAAAGACCTGTGGAACCTCTCCTTCACACATAGAGGATGAATAACGCTCTCACTGAATGAATACAAAAATGAAGTCAGTTAGCGCAGCTTTAAACTAAACTTAACACGAAACTTTGACTCTTAAAACCCACATCTCACAACACGGAACCATTAACATCTCGCCTCAAATTGCATTAAAAGTGAGTTTATTTTCATCCCTTTATAATCCATTTCTAGGTCAGGGGGTGGCAATCAGAGTTGCACCCAATTCACATAGCACCAGTCCCTCGCTGATCCTCCTGCACAAGTTTACATTACATCATTAACAGCGGCACAACTCTTTTTCATAAATGATCTTGATTACAACTATTTTTGTTTTCTTAAAAAGCCACTTAAAACAAAACTCTAAACAATGTTTAATTTGACAAACATGTGTTTAAAAACAAAACAAACACTCTGAAAGAGCAGTTTGTTCAAGGCCTATGTGTAGGACAGAGAAGTCAGGATATAAATTGAATTCTGGACATTTGTTCAGTCTGCACACAGTATATCATTATAGAAGAAACCCTTTCTGGTGTGTGGGTGGCCCTGAAAAGGACCTTTGTTACTTTGTAAACGGCTTCGTTTACTTGGAGCTAGTGTACTTGGTCACGGCCTTGGTGCCCTCAGACACTGCGTGCTTGGCCAGCTCTCCTGGCAGCAGCAGACGCACTGCGGTCTGGATCTCCCTGGAGGTGATGGTGGAGCGCTTGTTGTAGTGCGCCAGGCGGGCGGCCTCTCCGCCGATGCGTTCAAAGATGTCGTTGACGAAGGAGTTCATGATGCTCATGGCCTTGGAGGAGATGCCGGTGTCGGGGTGCACCTGCTTCAGCACCTTGTACACGTAGATAGCGTAACTCTCCTTCCTGCTCTTTCTCCTCTTCTTGCCGCCTTTGCCGGCGGTCTTGGTGACGGCTTTCTTGGAGCCCTTCTTGGGCGCGGACTTTGCTGGCTCAGGCATGTTGCTCTGCGAGTACAACTGTCGGAGAGGGGGTCCGTGCGCTCTATTTATATTCGCGTCATGCAGAGCAGCTGCGCTGTTCCTCTCACGTGATTGGTCAGACCTCCCTCCCTTGGAGTTTCTCTCCTTTTCTCTCTTTCTGGGGGAGGACACGGACACAGGACAAAAGACAAAAAAAAACTGCGGAGAGCGTTAGAAAAAGCAAAAAACAGTGGAACTCCTCTAGGTTTATGGGAATATTTAGAGACATGGCATATAATGAGTGGAGTTTAAAACACTGATTTAAACAACTAAAATGACCTTGTGCTCAAGTCACTATCGTACAAATTCAAATGGACACAAATGTTACAATTACACTGTCACAGGTCGCTGGAGCAAGGAACTACTGGTTAAGTCATTAAATAAGTTTGTCTTAGTTGTCACGACAGAAGTTTAGTCTTTGTGGGGGTGGGTGACTCTTAAAAGAGCCGTTGTATTTGGTGATGAGCCATTTCCCCATCCTCTGGTTGCAGTTGTGACCCACACAAATTGTTTGTACAAAATGAGTTTTATTTAACCTTTATTTTACCAGGAAGTCCCTAGAGATAAAATCTCTTTCACGAGGGAGACCTTGCCAAGAACATCTTGGCAACAAGCAAGCAATATAAAAAGATAGGGACAAAACGATGTTGATCAATTGCGAAGGTTCTCCTTTTTTGGAGTGGGTGGCTCTTAAAAGAGCCGTTGGTGTTCGTTGTAATGCCGTGTTTAACCTCCGAAGCCGTACAGGGTGCGGCCCTGTCGCTTCAGGGCATACACCACGTCCATGGCGGTCACGGTCTTCCTCTTGGCGTGCTCGGTGTAGGTGACGGCGTCACGGATCACGTTCTCCAGGAAAACCTTGAGCACTCCGCGGGTCTCCTCATAGATCAGACCGGAGATACGCTTCACACCGCCGCGGCGAGCCAGACGGCGGATAGCGGGCTTGGTGATGCCCTGGATGTTGTCCCTTTCCTCCTTTTCTTTTCTTTTTTTTTTTTTTTTTTTAAGGGTCTTTATTTAAGTTTAAATACAATAACAATGAATAATTTCAACAATGATAATAACAATATTTACAGATAATTATTTACATTTTTAGAAGTGCAAAACGTCCCATGGGAGGTGAGGTGAATTATTCCGTTGTCGTTTGAGTTGTGTGATAATGTGTTTGTATGTTGTATTACTGTCAATGAAAGTGTGTGATATTGTCATTTTTGTACGTGTTTTCCAGAGTTGAACTGTAGATATTGCAATGATTAGTTGGAAGAGTTCTTGCTGATGTGGGGGGAGAGTTTCTTGAAATAGTCCGTATATAATGGAGCGATAAGTGAGAGAAATGGTGAGTCCGAGAGTCTGTAAAAGAGTCCATACTTCCTGTGAGCGGTAACAGTGTATAAGTAAATGATCCAGAGTCTCGTCATTATAGCAGTTTGGCATTGGGCATGACTTGGTTGTAACGTAGCAGCTCCACGACACTACGGCTCTTACTGAGAGTCTGTTCACGGCCATGAGCCACCGCGAGTCCCGGATGGTCTGTTCCTGGGGTTTGTTTAAAAGTTTTACAACATATTGTGATTCACTACTGTTACATTCTTTGAGCAACACAGGATCACCATACAGTTTATCACACATTTTACAATACAACATTTTTGATGTGAGACCATTAAAATCAAAAGGGTTCTTGTGAGTAAAATCACCAAACATTAGTTTATAATAGGGCCCTTTCCGAGCGCGGCCCACCCTCTTCCTCCACATGCTCAGTTCTCCGACCCACGGAGCTCCACGGGTGATGGCTGATGATACATTTTTAACAAAGGCTAAAGTAAGTTTTATGTCTAAATTTGTTGCTCCGAGGCCACCTAAGGCTCTATCTTTAAAAAGTAGTTCCCTCTTATGGCGCTTTTCCACAGCACCGGCACTACACCACTCTACACGACACGTCACGACCCGGTCGAGTACGCGTGCTTTTCCACATATCTCCATCGGACATCTTCAAGTGGGTGGGCTTTTCATACCACCGCTACGCCATTTCCGCGCGACTCACGAGCATGAAACCAGGAAAAACATTACATCCTCAAAGTCCTCCATAGATACCACTACAGAGACCGCTAACTTTTAAAAATGGGTTTCAGCACTTGCTCGCATTGCACAAAAATAGTGCTGGTCCCATTCTGTACAATCTGAATGGGACCTTTAGCAACAGCGGCCTGTGTAGCAGAGCATGCATGTCCGAGGATACTGCTAGGCTATAGCTAATGCTAGCGCTAGCTCGAGACTCAGCTCACTCACTAACCCTGGATTCCAAAGCTACTACAATACTACACTTAACACATCTATCACTGCCCTCAGAGGAGGATCCGGGGTTTAAACTCGTCATATGGCAACTCGAGCAGTAAAGGACCGAGGGAGAGACAGCGGCAGCCATAGGGGTAGCGAGTTAGCGGCTAAGCTAGGCTAGGCTAGGCTAGTAAGTAAGTAATCTTTATTTATATACCGCCTTTTCACTGCACGTCGGAGTCTCAAAGCGGTTTACAATTGTTATTTTTGGGAGTGGGAGGGGCCAGTACAGGAGGCACATGCCAGACCTATTGTACATATTTTTAGTGGTAGGGGAAACCGGAGCACCCGGAGGAAACCTACACAGACACGGGGAGAACATGCAAACTCCACTCAGAAAGGCCCTGGTCCAACCGGGATTCGAACCAGGACCTTCTTGCTGAGAGGCGAGAGTGCTATCCACTCAGCCACCGTGCCGCCCTAGTCCGGACTACAGCAGACTCCGAGACCAGACAAACAATCGATACCCAAACCTCAGATACAATTATAATAAATGAATGAAACACAGTCTTGATACAATCACAAATTTATTGAAAACAAAAGTAAAGTGCAAAACCAACAGTTTACAAAGTCAAAAGTACGTATGTGTGAGACCAGGTCCAGACCAGGTCCAGACCAGGTCCAGATGAGGAGAATACTCCGGTCACTCATTGCTCGTTGGTAGTCTCCACACTTATGGGAAGGGATTCTCATACAAATATACACATGACAACTTAAATACAAGCACAAAACAGAATGACAACACGTGAATACTGCAGATAATACGAGATAAAGCACAGTAGCACAGGGAGGACGTTAGCTTAGCTGCTATCGATAGCTAAATGAAGCTAAATGTAGCTAGCTCACTGTGTACAACAGACAATTGAGCATTTACACAGTAAATACATTTCAGTGAGAGCTTTAACGGGATTTGTAGCTAACCAGTTATTCCAGGATTACCACAGACTAGTCACAAATCCAGAGCTGGTGATCTCCTGAAAACTGTGTTGAGCCTCGAGCTGCCTTTGAATTCTTTCTTTGGCCTGAAGAGAGGAACGTGTGGACCTCTTCCACCGACCAGGACCAGGACTTTTGGGGCTTTCTGTGCAATTCCATTTCTCTGGAGTGAGGAGGACGTAATGTAGCCGAAGCAGAGCCGAGCAGAGCAGCCGGTTTTAAAGATGGCGGTTGAGTTGTTTTTCCCAAAGGGTCAGATGTCGCGTCCAGTGACGACACTCGATCGTTGACCAATCAGCGTAGGCAGTCCGCTTACGTCACGAGCGTGTAGCTTTTTGGAACCGCTCCAGAGGCGGTCCGAAAATAGAACACAATACCTAGCTTCAACGCTAGTGGAAATGCAAAAGTAACGCGCCGTGTCGTGTAGAGTGGTGTAGTGCCGGTGCTGTGGAAAAGCGCCATTAGTGACTTCTCTCGTGGTGCTCCATATAAAATTAACACACATTTTATTAAGTTTTATCATACATTTGTTAGTGGGTGGAAAGATAGTCGCTAAAAGCAACAATTTTGAAATGACATAACATTTTATAATATTTATTTTAAGTTGATAGGATAATTTTTTGTTTTCCCATTTTTTAATTTCTTCTTGGATCAAATTTGTTTTGATTTCCCAGTTCCGTTCTAAGACATTGTTGCAAACAATAATCCCCAAAACTTTTATTTCGTCCCTTGTGGTGATATTTAAAGGGACTCTTCCTGTTTCCTCTCCGATCCACACTGCCTCAGACTTGTTGTGGTTCAGGATTGCACCAGAGGATTGCTCATATAGCTGTATGATTGTATAGAGTTCATCGAGTTCTGACTGATGCTGAATTATCACCGTGACGTCGTCTGCATACGCTAATGTTTTATATTGTTGTGAGGAGTGAGCTCGACTCCTTTGAGGATGGGACTGGATTTGATCAAAGTGAGTAATGGGTTTATTGCTAAAACATAGAGCGCAGCACTGAGCGGGCAGCCCTGCTTCACTCCGCGGTGAACGTTCAGAGGTTCAGTTAAAACTCCGTTCACATTTGCTTGTACAGTGGTTTTAAAATATAGACATTTTACCATATTGATAAAATCTGTGGGAAAGCCATATTTGGACAGGACAGCCCACAAATAGTCTCGCGAAACAAAATCAAAGGCTTTTTTTTGGTCCAGACCAACAATATAAAAGTTCTGTTTATCCTTTTCTTTGTAAAGGAGTTCACGCAGCGCACACACATTGTCCCACATGAGACGGCCTCTGATGGCACACGTCTGCTGTTTCTCTATGACGTCCTCTAGGACGTCGTTCATGCGGTTCATTAATACTTTGGCTAAAATTTTATAATCAGTGTTCATCAGGGTGAGATGTCTATAATTATTAATGTCCTGTTTCTCACCCTTTTTATACAGGAGACACATCACTCCCTGGTAGAAGGACTCCCCCATCCTACCTTTCTTTAGACCTTCATTAAAATAAGCAGTCAATAAATCAATTACGTTGGTTAGATATAATTGATAAAACTCTGTGGGCAGTCCGTCAGGACCTGGACTTTTACCTGAGTTGAGTTCTTTAATGGCACTAAGTACCTCTTCTTTAGTGACTTCTCCGAGTACAGAGCTGACGTCACAGTCTGGAGGTGACAGCTCTAACATAGATCTCACAGACTCAGGGTCAACTCTGATGTCTCTGTAAGAGTCTGAAAGCAGATTTCTGATCAGTATTCTTTTCTCTCTTTCTTTATAAATGACATTACCAGAGAGGTCTTTAACTGCTTCAATGTATTTATTTTTTATATTTTCTTTACCTGACTTTAAGGCTTGAGTGGTGTTGCACTGTCCATCGACCTGAGCACTTTTAAAAACATTAAACAAGAGCTCAGCATTAATGTCGTTAATTTGTGATTTTACTCTTTTCATTCTGACCTCGTCTTCAAGGGAAGCGTCTTTACGCTGCTTTAATGTTATAAATTCTTTCACCAACTCATTGTAGATATCATTTTTACATTTATTAATTTCTTTACACTTGAATTTGAAAAATTTTGCGACTCTACTTTTTAAAAGTTCCCACAGTTCAGTGTCAGATTTAGTTAATATTTTCAGCTGCGTGATGACCGCTATTTCCTTCTTTGAGTTCATTTATTAGCTCGGGTATTTTGAGACAGCTAACGTTGAGTTTCCAGAACCCTTTGTGTTCAACTGGACCAAAGCAGACATTAGAACAAACAATAAGGTGATCAGAGAAATCAGTCAGAATGGTTTTATATGACATTATTGTTACGTTACTGGATGTGTAGATTCGGTCTATTCTAGTTTTGACTTTGGAGTCAAACCTGGTAAAACCATAGTCGTTTGGGTACAGAGTTCTGAATGCATCTTTTCAAACCATTTGGTCACTGCTGATTTTAAGTAAAACATTTCCTTCTTTTCTTATTTTATGAGTTGTGCTCCCGATGCGGTCTTTTTCTTCAGTTATTATGTTAAAATCCCCACATATAATAGTTGTAAAATTTACATTTAAAATTTCATTCAACTTCCTCAAAAGTTTACTTTTTTTGTGAAACTGTTGGAATGATTTCTCTTTTCTTAATAATGTTTACGTTATTTTTACACAAAATACCAACTCCGTCTGCACTGTCCTCTCCAATAGACACAAGACAGGTCCCTTTGGTCCAGAGATCACACACATTATTCACATCATCAAACGTTTTCAGTCTTAGTTCTTGAATAAACAAAAAATCAAAGTTAGTTTCTAAAAGATACTCGATTTTCTTTTGTCTATTAGCAGGCGATTGAATACCGCAGATGTTCCACGATGCAAGTTTCACATAGGACATTAAGTGTTTTTGTTGGGAGAGGACCTTTTATCAACTCTTTTTTCTTTACCCTTCAGTTTGTTTTTATTCCTTTTTCGTTTTGTTGAATACAGTGGTGGGATATTCACAGAAACGAACTCGGGACTTGAAGACCCAGTCAGAGAATCTGTTGGAATTATTTCTGAAACAGAGCTTTCACTCACGCTTTGAGAATGCTCCTCTGACCCTGAGACAGAGAGGGGCTCACCTGAGGACCCCGAGGAGCTGGTCTCAGAGGATCGATGGTCCTCGTCTGAAGGAGGGAGAGGAGGCCACAGCGCGCACTCCTCCGCGGAGGCTGTCGGAGAAGGCTGGTCGCTGGTCACAAGCGGTGGCTCAGTGGACGGCTGGGCAGCGTTCTGCGATGACGTGGAGGATGGGGCAGCGATCCGCGATGACGTGGAGGGCTGGGCAGCAGTCTGCGATGGCGCGGAGGGCTGGGCAGCAGTCTGCGATGACGCGGAGGGCTGGGCAGCAGTCTGCGATGACGCGGAGGGCTGGGCAGCAGTCTGCGATGACGCGGAGGGCTGGGCAGCAGTCTGCGATGACATGGAGGGCTGGGCAGCAGTCCGCGATGACGTGGAGGGCTGGGCAGCGGACCGCGATGACGTGGAGGGCTGGGCAGCGGACCGCGACGACGTGGAGGGCTGAGCAGAAGTCTGCGATGACGTGGTCGGCTGAGCAGCGGTCCGTGATGTTGTGCTGGACTGAACACCGACCTGGGTCTGTACACCTGTCCCGCTCTGCTGCTCGTGTAGCTTACCGTGAGGCTCACTGGACCCAGATTTTACACCAGGCAACAACTTGGACCGGACACTGGAGTCAGAGTGCGGCTTGGTAGGCCGAGCGCTGGGCCCCTCCGGACCAAGAGTGGGTTGGGCAGTGGCCTCTGGTGGTAGCCTGGTGGGTTTGGAGGACCCAGACGGCAGCATGGAGGACTGGGTACAGGGCTCAGCCCAGGCATTGGTGGCAGATCCAGCTTTATCATAGTCCTTTGGCTGTGCATGTCTAGCCTTGTTGGCGTATGACGAAGGGCAAGTGAAGTAAGTGTGTCCTTTCTCATTGCATAAAGTGCAAAGTGCTTCACAGGTACAGTCTTTCGCCCTGTGTCCAAATTGTCCACACTTCCAGCATTTAACTGTAGGACAGTCTCGGATCTGGTGATCCGGAGACTGACATATAAAACACGTGACTGGTTGACCCGGATATATAATTCGTCCATTGTATGGTCCCAGGGAAATAGAGTTGGGTAGTTGTGAAAAATGTCCATTTAAGTCTTTTTTAAGTTGTACTTTGTATTTTCGAACACCATACCAAAGTCCAAACTTATCTACGGGTTTGACTGTACTCAAGATGTTACAATATCGCTGGAGGTAGAGCTCGATGTCACCGTCCGATACCCTACCAGTCCAGAACTTAACCACAATAAATACAGTGTCTACTTGAATAGACGACTGAATGCTCCAGTCTTTCCATTTGTCCTCGTTGGATTGAGTGAAATGCAAGTTCAAGAAGCGTCTTAGTGAGTCTTCGTTCATGAAACATATTTCAAAGTCTCTTTTGTTCTGAAGTGCAATGAATGAATAAATGTCTTTAGCATCAATCCAGCAGGATTGGAGCAAAAGTGTCTCACCAACATAGTCCCGGGTGGGGAGAAACTCGCTTTGACCAGTATAGTGTAGACGGGCCCAGTGCTGGCCGAACTGAGAGGAGTAAGAGCGGCCCAGAGGTCGGCCATAAGCCATGACTTCGGCCCTCTAATACATGAGCGTCACTTTTTCCTCCTTTTCCTCTCCCGCTCATAATTGTTGATCACTGATGAGAAACACAGAGACCTGTGAGGGTCTAGCTCTGTTCCACCGTGTTTATTCAGCATCTGCGGACGTTGTTGAAGACTGTAGGGCACATGGGGGATGGGCGTTCATCCAACTGACTGAGAATGACTCATCGTTATACACGAGCCAAAACTAATAACTAATAACATGATAGACTTTAATCTTGTACATGTAGATGTTTTAAAGAGGAGTCAGACTGCAGATGGAGACAGCAGGTTGTGGAAAAGTGATACTGAAAGACTTTCTGTTGGGAAAAATAACAAATGAAGCTTGGTACAATTTATAATTGACTATGTATTAATATAGATATAAACATCTATATCTATCTTATAAATATGCATGTACGAATATGAATCTATCCATTTATTCAAAGCAATATATACAAATATGCAACAGAGTCCAGGCAAACAGGAACTTGATAAATGTATTAACTTTGAATTAACAGGATAACATTCAAAATATGTGAATAAAATGGGGGCCGGAGAAGAATTCTATTTATAAAGTCATTATTATTCAATAATAAACAAATTCATGAATGTATTTAAATTATGTTCATGGGGGAGTCTACACGTTTCTACTTTCATTTCGAGCTGACAAATAGAAATACATTTGTAAACACACATGTGAAACTATGGCACGTAGTGTTGCTTTGATATATATTCATGTAAATATGTGTGCAATGTACTAACGTCCATAAACTGAGTAAGGTCTAATTTCTGCTCGAATTAATACAATCAGTGCTAAATATAAATTCCACCACGAGTTGTGTCCATTCCATCTTTTGACTGTTATTCGCGAGACACATTGTCCCAGAAGTGTTTGTAAAAATCAGACCTGGTCAAAACGAAGGACCACATTAATCGATCACTACGACCATGTGGGACAGGACCAGAAATAGCAAGTAGAATGCACAGTTTTATAACTTTGGATCATATTTGAACATCGTGAGGGGATTATACTGATGCAAATTTTACTTCTTTCACTGGACATGTCCTTCATTTAGTAAAAACTACATGTGGGAGAAGTGTAGTCTTTGGCAGATGTGGTTGGCCCTGAAAAGGGCCGTTGTGTTGCTCTGTAAACGGCTTCGTTTACTTTGAGCTGGTGTACTTTGTCACGGCCTTTGTACCCTCAGACACTGCGTGCTTGGCCAGCTCTCCTGGCAGCAGCAGACGCACTGCAGTCTGGATCTCCCTGGAGGTGATGGTGGAGCGTTTGTTGTAGTGCGCCAGGCGGGAGGCCTCTCCCCCGATGCGCTCGAAGATGTCGTTGACGAAGGAGTTCATGATACTCATGGCCTTGGAGGAGATGCCGGTGTCGGGGTGTACCTGCTTCAGCACCTTGTACACGTAGATGGCGTAGCTCTCCTTCCTGCTCTTTCTCCTCTTCTTGCCGCCTTTGCCGGCGGTCTTGGTGACGGCTTTCTTGGAGCCCTTCTTGGGCGCGGGTTTGGCATCAGGCATGATGTGTGACTGTGTGGATACAGCAGACAGCTGGAGGAGCGCAGGCCTGTCCGCAATTTTATACACACTGCATGTAAATGAGCTGCGCTGTTCCTCTCTGCTGATTGGTCCAACCAAATATCTCAGTCTTCTGTGTCTCTCTAGGTTTGGAGCAAGCCAGTTCAAACTCCGGTTAATTACTATTTCCCTGTATGTACAAAATGAAGTTTGAACGATGGTGTGGGCTAGTGTGGAGCGTTCAACAGGATAACCCTGAACTATGAGTTAAACCAGTAAGTTACAGTCTATGTTGTAAATTGTTTCAAATATTATATAAAATAATTTCATTGAAGACCAAAATGGACAAAAATTAATGAATAGAGATGTTATCATTTGTAGATAAAGAGAATTGTTCATCCATTATCTTCCGCTTCATCCGTTACCGGGTCGGAAGGACAGCAGTTTAGGCAGAGACGCCCACAATTCCCCATCCACACACTCTTCCTCCAGCTCATCTCAGGCCAGTCCCTCGAGCGTGTCTTCCCCTGGTCTCGTCCCTGCTTCAAATGATTATGATTCAGCAGTTTTGTCCAAAGGAAAAAAAGTATTCATCCGTTTCTTTCTGAATGTATTTATTTTCATATAAGTTATTATTTAGCATCCTTCTTTTCTCCCTCACCCAAATGAAGGGGACGGCCCACAAATGGCAATAGTTCTGTGGCTTTGGGTCCAACATATCGGGTTTAAAATGATTTGATCCAAAATAAGAACCCCAGTCACTGCAATGAACTTTTGAGGTTTTTGAAAACATAACCCAAGTTGTGAAAGACAGTAGTGAAAGCACAAAACTGAGACATGTCACATCCTCCTATGGGCTCAACATCATGCTGCTATAAACGTTCGGCGTAATGCAGGAAAGACGCGATAGGGAGCTGTGTAAAGAGTCAAACTGGCAACTACAGCCACGGTTCAACTTTATTTTTATTAAGAGACTAGAACATGACTTATGTGACCTCTTTCAGTCGGTTCTCGGAGTTTAAATGTCGTGCATTCGTTGACTGGCAGAAATGTTTTAATAGTTTGATAACACGTCAAGTGTATACACTACATTAATCTCCAGGATGAAGAGTTCTCCTTGTCTTAGTGGGTGGCCCTTAAAAGAGCCGTTGTGTGGCGGTTGTTCAGGGCCTTTACTTGGCCTTCTCGGTCTTCTTGGGCAGGAGAACGGCCTGGATGTTGGGCAACACTCCTCCCTGGGCGATGGTCACTCCTCCCAGCAGCTTGTTGAGCTCCTCGTCGTTGCGGACGGCCAGCTGCAGGTGGCGGGGGATGATACGGGTCTTCTTGTTGTCTCTGGCGGCGTTACCGGCCAACTCCAGGATCTCAGCGGTCAGATACTCGAGTACCGCGGCCAGATACACGGGCGCTCCGGCACCGACGCGTTGGGCGTAATTACCCTTCCTCAGCAGCCTGTGCACACGGCCCACAGGGAACTGCAGCCCGGCTCTGGAGGAGCGGGACTTTGCCTTGGCTCTAGCTTTACCTGCGCCCTTTCCTCGTCCAGACATTTTGACGTGTGGTATGAGTCTCAAGAGGAACAACTGTGCTGTGGAGAGGCTGTGGTTCGTATATAAAGGCCCTGCTACGCTCTGATTGGTCCTTTAGAAGGAGAGTCCTCCAATCAGAAGACATCCCAAGAACCCCTCCCGCGTCCATTGCACAACGCAACCTCCAGTTTTGAAGAAAACGTTCAAAAGATCCACATGATCAGAGAATATAGTGTAATGAATATGAGATTAGACATGTAAACCTTAAAGGGCCTGTGCAGTTAACAGATAATACAATATAGATGTTTTTAAGGCTGATGAGAATCAGACTCAGACAAAAAGGGATCTTTGCCTGGCTGCCTTATTCACAAAAGGGTAGTTAATTTCACACAGAACAGGAAATGCATATATATATATATATGTATATATTGACATTTACGTCATCATGAAAAGGCCGCACCCAGGCGCCAGTTAACTTCCACAACAAGAGTCCCTGTGGTCCTTGTGACCTCCACAAGGCCAGATTATTTGAACTATTTTGTCTTGCGTTTGTCCACCTGTGTAGGCCATGATAGGCTATTCACCACAAGACACCAGATTGTGTGGAAATGTTTCTTGACAGTATTGTACATGAACCATTTTTACTAGGGCTGTAACGATCCGCCTCTAAGTAATCGTAAAAGGAGCAGGCAGAAGTAGAAAACCGACTGATGAACGTTACGCCCTCTGCTCCGTGATTTTGGGAGAGGTACGCGGTTGCGTTGAGAATGAAGAACCAGAGGAGAAAAGAGTTGCGTCCTTGCTTATTTTCAAAAAGAACACCAGCGCGTTTAACATGTTTGCGCCAACCAATAAGAATGGACTTTGTAACAGATTTACTTGTACATTTATAACGCATATACTTTTTATCCCTCATTACACCTGTTTTTAATTGTTTTGAAACCATGTAATGTAATGCCTTTTATAATTGTTTTCAATGTTAATCCCGTATTTCAACCTGTCACATAAACGTATACCCCTTCATTGCATAAATACATTATTCCATTTGTCCTTAGCATGTGTTGCTAAGAACAGATGGATGTCTGTTCTTTGCAATATATGTGTATATATATATATATATGTGTGTATATATATATATGTGTGGATATATATATATATACACACACATTTGTCCATTTTGATTACACTTAGATGGACACTATACATCTCTACTCGGGCTAAGAAACAATACATATTGAAATATCAATATATTCTGACTTGATATTGTATCAACTTGTAAACTCAAAGCCCAATTTAAAAAAATACTGTATACAAGTGCATAGATAAACGCTTTCCATATAAACTAAAGGAAAGCCTCTTCCAAACTACAGTCTTACTCTTACTTATACTACTCACTTACTCATACTCTTCGTTTTTCAAATGAGCTTGGAAACTTTACATTAAAAGGCGATAAACATTAACAAGGCAATTTTTATTTACCAGTTAATGAGAACAAATAAGCAAGTTTAAAATTGCATTAAGTGAAAAGTATTGCGATATCAGCCATATTCATATTGTGACAAACCACAATGCAGCTTTAATTTGTAAGGTATGTAAAGAATGTTTTCATATTTCATGTGCTCAAATTACTTATTGGTGGGTCATTTCATCCACGTCTGTGCAGCACGTCTGGGATTTACTGAATGCCTGTTCCTCACTGACCGTACCGGAGTATGGTGACGATAATGCATTATGGCAACGGCAGTATGCGTCGGCAAAGTAAAGGAGCATGGGAAGCCTGGATATGTTATAAATACTAAAGGGATCGTTCGGGATTACATAACTTCCAATTTCAGTCATATTGACAATATAAATTCTATCCATGAACATAGAAGACAATCTTTGAGAAAGTGGTGGCTCTTAAAAGAGCCGTTGTGTGGAGAATAAAGCCGCTGCTTTAAGCCCTCTCCCCGCGGATACGGCGGGCCAGCTGGATGTCCTTGGGCATGATAGTCACCCTCTTGGCGTGGATGGCGCACAGGTTGGTGTCCTCGAACAGACCCACCAGGTAGGCCTCACTGGCCTCCTGCAGAGCCATGACTGCGGAGCTCTGGAAGCGCAGGTCAGTCTTGAAGTCCTGGGCGATCTCCCTGACCAGGCGCTGGAAGGGCAGCTTGCGGATGAGCAGCTCGGTGGACTTCTGGTAGCGGCGGATCTCCCTCAGAGCCACGGTCCCGGGCCTGTAACGGTGAGGCTTCTTCACGCCACCGGTCGCCGGGGCACTCTTGCGGGCGGCTTTGGTGGCGAGCTGCTTCCTTGGAGCCTTTCCTCCGGTGGATTTACGGGCGGTCTGCTTGGTTCTGGCCATTTTGTCTGCTCTGGATCAGTGAGAGATCTCGTAACAGGATGAGAACAGGCAAAGAGGCTGTGGCTTTTATACATGTCAGGGCGAAGCTGATTGGCTCTGAGGCGTTAGCCCCGCCCCTGTCCCGCGCGCTGCTTTCATTCACGAGGTGGAGGCTTCTGACTGTGAAGACAGACAGTTTGAACTTTGAAGGGGTCAGAATCACCAGTTACTGGAGGGACCGTCGACTGAAAATATTGGAGACTCAGGAAAAAGAACAGTTACTGTCATCTATAATATGTTTAACTATCACTGTGTGACAGACAGGGACTGGTCATTTATGAAGAGATACACGCACAACATTATTATTGATTATATCACATTGTTGTTGTTCTGTACAATATACGAAGAAATAGCAATGAATTGTATGTGACAAAAGATAATTATAAGTAATTGATTTGTCATAATAAAATTAATAATGTATATGTTTTATACAGCGCTTTTCTGGACACACAAAGACGCTTCACATGTCAATATTCATTCACTCCAAACAAATTACACAAGTAAACAAACTATCAATGTAGCCACAGCTGCCCTGTCCCACACTCTGACAGAAGCGAGGCAACCAGTATGTGCCATCGGCCGGTCCCACCACCAACAAAGACGTGTATAGCACAATGTGATTTATAGTCAAGATAAGACTCTTTCGGGCATATTGCACTCCCATGTATACAGCCCACCTGTGGAGGTGCTATAAAAAGAGCAGTCTGCAAAAACTATCTGTGGCATACAATGATGCCATGCAGATGCTGCTGAGGGTCCCACGTTGGAGCAGTGCCAGTGCCATGTTTGTAAATGCAGGTGTGCCCACTTGTCCTGCTGTACTGCGCCATCTCATGTACAAGTGCATGTGCAGACTGTCCCACTCTGTCAACAGCATCATCGCTGTATTGACCAACCCAGGTCTGAGTTCAGTGCGTTATTTCTCACTGGCTTCAGAGCCTATACAGGAAATGACTTATCCTTTAACTGTACTTGGTTTTTTTATGTGTCTTTTTGTTTTACCCCGTGTATGATTTTGTATCTAAGAAATAAACATACTTGTCTTGATGAACTTCATCTAATGTAATTCTCAAGGTGCAATTTGCATACAAATAATAATGTTACTATTATTCAGTGGTAAATACTTTTCATGAATGAATTGAATTATGGGATCTTGTGAGAGTCTACAAGTTTACTTTCATTTCCGAGCTACAAAATAGTAAATGAAATACATTTGTGCATTACCCATTCACTCCAAACACAGTGGTGATATACATGCTGTAGCCACAAGCTGCCCTGGACGCACACTGACAGAAGGCGAAGGTACAGTATATGCTAATCGGCACTCCCACCCACCAACAATTCACACATACACGGTACTCTTCTTGCCTGTGACACAACCACAGTTTGGCACTATACATCCACGGCACTGTGACCGTGTGTCCGGAGCGGTCTCCCAGCACAGTACTAACCATGTCGAACCCGGTCAACATCTTAATATTTCTTGTATGAGTGGCTTATGCAGAACCAGAAGCGTCTCTCTAGCGGAGGAGGTGGCTCTTAAAAGAGCCTTTGAGTTGAAAAACAAGACACACACACAGGAGTTTACTTCTTGGCCTTCTTGGGAGCAGCCTTCTTTGCTGCTGCCTTCTTGGGGCTCTTCTTCACGGCCTTGGGCTTCTTGGGAGTCACCTTCTTGGCGGGTTTCTTCGCCACCTTCTTGGGGCTCTTTGCTGCGGGCTTCTTGGCCACCTTCTTGGGGCTCTTTGCTGCGGGCTTCTTGACCGCCTTCTTGGCAGGGGACTTGGCCTTCTTCACCACCTTCTTCTTGGGGTGGTCGCTTTCTTTGCTGCGGGCTTCTTGGCTTTGGCGGGGGCCTTCTTTGAGGTCGTGGGCTTGGCTTCTTTCGAGGCCAGTTTAAAGGAGCCGGAGGCCCCGGTGCCTTTGGTCTGGCTCACTACGCCGTTGAGCACCATCCTCTTCAGGGTGTTGTTGATGCGCTTGTTGGCCTTGACCACATCGACGCCCTTCGCCGCCAGCGCCTTCTTCACGGCGGCCACAGAAACGCCTTTGCGCTCCTTGGACTCCGCGATGGCGGCCTTGATGAGGGCTCCCAGGTTGGGACCATCGCTCTTCTTGCGGCGGCCTTCTTCCTGGGGGCCTTGGATTTGGTCGGAGCGGGTGCTGCGGGTGCGGTCTCTGCCATGGCTCGTGTTGAGGTTTAGATCTGAGTCTAGTGGAGACGGAGGCGCGAGGAGGAGGTTTTATAACGGCTATGAGAACCGTAGAGACTCAACCCGCTCTGCTCAGTGTCGCTGGCTCCGCTCTGTGTTTTCTCTTCGCACTTTAGAGTTAAAATATAAACAAATAAAAGACGTTTCACAATCATGTCATACATCCTCGTGTGCGGAAAAAGCTCTGCTTTGAGGAGAAACTGTCTTTTTCTCAATTAGAATGTCTGTAACGGAGTTTAATGCCCAAAACCACGTGGATGTCTGTGATGATTCAACTCAGGGCGAGGACTTTTTCCTACATTTAGCGTTAAAAACGTCTTGATTCTCCTTTAATGACAGATATTGGGCATTTCCACAAAGAGAGGACACATCACAGTTTTTATTTACAGTCTTTAAACTTTCGCTTTGAGAGCAGCGTATAGTTGTATTTAACAAAGATGTCGGCGGTAGTAACACACCAGCAGCAGCGGGTTTGAACCACGCAACACTGTTCCCATGTTTCCCTTTGTTTGGGGAGATATTTTGTATAAGGATGATCACTTTGCTCTAACATCAACATTCACCCGTTCATAGTTTGTTTACACTGGCAGCACTTCTGTTTTGACTGACAGAGAAACTTTATTAGTTGCACTGAGCTCATTGGGAGAAACCGATATAACACCCAAAGTCAGGCGTAGTTTTCTACATGAATGCATTTATTATTTACTTTATGATTATGATGTTATGATTAAGTTATCATAACACTACTATTACAACTGTTTAGAATGGTCAATATTAGACTGAATTGGATCTTCATGATCTCATGAAGACGTAGACATTACAGCAGTCTGCAGGTGGTGTACCATCAATGTTCTGGTAGTTTTAACAATTTTGGTCTGCAGCAGAACCTGTAGTCCAATGTGAACGCTCTATTTCAGCACACAATCTGGTGTCTTATAAACATCTATATTGTATTACCTGTTTACTGCACAAGCCCTTTGCTGCAGCTCGAGTCCTGATGAGAACCAGGAAGTGTGATCACATTAGTCCAGTTTGTCAGGTCTCAGCTTGTGTCTCTCAAGGCCCTCGCACAAGACTGCATCCGAGACCTTTTCTTGCCATGTAAACCGACTCAGACTCTGAGGAGCACAGGGACTGGCCTCCGGCAGCATTTCAGATCCACGCCGCTACAATGTGGAACAGTCCTTTCTGAAAACGTGAGACAGGTGTCTGAGGGTAAGGCCTTATATTCTTTCCATCTTGTTTTTGTACTTTGAGTTGCAGTTTGTGCTTGTGCTATACAAATAAAACTGCCATGCTCCAGGATATCTATGCAGTTATGAGGTACATTTTGTTTGATGTGGTGACTGAAAAATGTTTCAGATTCAAAGGCGTGAGAACACATAGCTCTGCATCATTTAATCATTTAAAAAAATAAAACTAACATACTTTCACTGCACACGTAACGTTCACCTCTACTGTAGAAATTGATTACCTATATTGGTCCAAACTGCAATACAAAGGCCGTGACAAAGTTACACCAGCTCAAAGTAAACTGAGCCGTTTACAGAGCAACACAACGGCCCTTTTCAGGGCCACCCACATCTGACAAAGATTCACTTCTGCCAAGTACAGTGATAGTAGTAACGATATGTACATGTTAGAATATGCATCAACATAATCCCTCAAGATGTTCAAAGATAATGTAAAGTTCTAAAACTGCGTATTCTACTTACTATTTATGATTTTGTACCCCATGGTCCGTAGAGATCGCTTGTGGTCCTTCCTTTTGACCTGGTCTGATTTTACAAACACTTCTGGGACAATGTGCCAAGAGATTTAATGGACACTACTCGTGGTAGAACTTCTATTTAGCACTGTTGGATTGTATTAAGAGCAGAAATTGGACCTAAGACTTTTGTACATTGTGTTGCCTTTTATGCTTACAGTATGTACATGCACAAATATTTACATAAATATACATCAAAGCAAGACCAAGTGCCATAGTTTCACCTGTGTGTTTACAAATGTATTTTCAAAACGTGTAGACTCCCCCATGAACATCATTTAAACACTTTCATGAATTTATTTATTATTGAATAATAACTTTATAAATATAATACACGTATTTTAAATGTTATCCTGTTAATTCAAAGTTAATTCATTTCTCAAGGTCCTGTTTGCCTGGACTGTTGCATATTTGTATATATTGCTTTATATAGATGAATAGATAGATTAATATTAGTACCAACATATTTATAAGATAGATATAGATTTTTTTTTATTTACATTAATACATACACAATCATAAATTGTACCTAGCTTCATTTGTTATTTTTCCCAACAGGTAGTCTTTCAGTATCACTTTTCCACAATCTGCTGTCTCATCTGCAGTCTGACTCCTCTTTAAAACATCTACATGTAAAAGATGAAAGTCTATAGTGTAAATTAGTTTTGGCTCGTGTATAACAATGAGTCCTTCTCAGTCAGTTGGATGAACGCCCATCCCCCCCACGTGCCCCACAGTCTTCACCTACGTCCGCAGATGCTGGATAAACACAGTGGAGCAGAGCCTTGTCCTCACACGTCTCTGTGGTTCCTATCAGCGATCTGTAAAAATGAGCGGGAGAGGAAAAGGAGGAAAGGGACTCGGGAAAGGAGGCGCCAAGCGTCACCGCAAAGTCCTCCGTGACAACATCCAGGGCATCACCAAGCCCGCCATCCGCCGTCTGGCTCGCCGCGGCGGTGTGAAGCGTATCTCCGGTCTGATCTACGAGGAGACCCGCGGAGTCCTCAAGGTGTTCCTGGAGAACGTGATCCGTGACGCCGTCACTTACACCGAGCACGCCAAGAGGAAGACCGTAACTGCCATGGACGTGGTATACGCCCTGAAGAGACAGGGCCGCACCCTGTACGGCTTCGGAGGTTAAGCACGGGACTGTAACCAACACCAACGGCTCTTTTAAGAGCCACCCACTCTGACAAAGATTTTACTTCTGTTATGTAATTACAATATTATGCCTTCATCAAATGACGAGTTCGAACGTCCGCAAGGTTCAGTTTGTGTCCTAGGGACTTGAACCATGGGTGACGAAATCCAGATTCAGATGTCCAGCCTCAGAACTTTAAAAATGCAAACCTCTGAAGAGATTACTTCTAATTAACTAACTAATTTCCTTATTTTCTCATTACCGAAACATACATGATTTATAACTTATTTTATTCAATTATTTTCCTAAAAAATAACATGCCGTTTTTTACCGTGGTAAAGTTGCTTGGATATTCGGCAGATATTCAGAGCGGGTAAGCGATGAGGTCGTCAGCCAGCCTGAGAGTAATAATAAGTTTAATTTAAGTTTAAACCTCTTAACACCCGCCTCATTTTGGCTTGTGCACAAAAATGTCTTTGCTTATTTAAAAACACATCTTACATCTCACATGCTTGTGTGATGCATCATTTTAAAGCTAGAGCCTTCTAGTTTATGTAAAAAAACACTAAAATAATGTTTGTCATTCCTATTTTCCTCTGCATCCTTTGAAGTTTGGGAAAAAAACCCAATTTTTTTAGCCTCGCCTAACATGTTCAATTTCTAAAGGCCCTAAAAAAGGCATACTTCATTGTAAGTTCACAATATTCAAACCCTGTGGTCATTGTGTTGTTGACAACAACTGTCTAAAGTTTCAGACTTCTAAGTTTTATAGTTTTTATGCAGTTTCTCCTTTTCATCAAGTAGTGCACATTTGGCACAATTTGGCACAAGTGTGCCAAATTCTGCCAAATATCTTTACTTACATTTAATCATCATAAAAACAATATTTTTCATTATTGGTACTTATAAGTTACTAATCTATGTGTGTTTTTTTTTTTTTAAATGTCAAAGTTATTTTTTTATGAGTGTAAATTCATTGCAGCTTCGAGAGCGTCTTTTGGCTTCCATTACGCACAATTGTCCAGGCACAACATAAGACAGGACACCATTGTCCCACCCCTTGCTCGAAAGCTTTCCTCATTGGCTACACGGACATGTCAATCGAAAATCCCGGAAATGGAAGCAAACAAGTTGGGAGCACAACAAAGATCAGTCCTCCATGCGCAAACAGCAAAAGCTAAATTGGTTTAGCTTCTCGGGAGTAGTCTCATTTGAAAGATAAGGAGCTAAGGAACACGTGGATACCAGATGTTCGGGTGAAAAACAAAGCTAAAAGTCAGTTAAAAGTGAAAAAGCAACATCTGTGCTCGTTTTTTTCTTTTTTTTCGCTAAAGATAAATGCACATTTTTGGATTATTTCTGCAGAATGGATTTTACTTTGGGAAATACAAGTGGATATAATTTTCCTTTGGACTGTTCCAGAGAGAATGATGTATTGCAAGCTGGGAGGAGAGCTGATTTATTTGTACAGCACAAGCCCAAAGGTAAAAAACTATTTCGGAATTGATTTATTTTGTGCCCACATTATGTGTTATATCTTTTGAATGCAAAGTCTGATGTAGTTTACACTTGTAGATAAATGTAGATAAGAAAATAAGCTTTAAAATGATATACAGCTTTTGGGGTTTGGTGTTCAAAATACATCTGCTATTGCCAGCAGAACATTTAAAAACATAAAAACGGCACGCCGGCGCGCCGGTTGTTGTAAAGAGGGCAATAATTTATTACCTTATTTTGCCATTACGCTCTTTTTTATATCCATTTTCATAATAGTAGGGAAAAATGTTGACGTCCCTAAAAATAGGCGAAGACATGGACATGCACTCGCACGAGGCGAGTGTTCGCTCCGTATTACTCTCAGGCTGGCTGACGACCTCATCGCTTACCCGCTCTGAATATCTGCCGAATATCCAATACATAGTTCCCACAGACCAATGAATGTCACATGACCTCCTCGGAGACGCCATCTTTGATGGCAAGCTGCTGTGTTTACAAAGTTTAATGAGTTTCACTCGCAAATTTCGAATGTTTAATCCTGTTTTTAAAATGTTACGAAAATCATGAAGAGACAAAGTGACAGAGATTATAAAGAGACTCTATTAACACAAGATAGAGAGAGGTACGATGCGAAAATTTCAGTCATTAATTGTGTGGATCCGTATACGCTAACGAAGGAAGCACTGAACGCTGATTATGCAGCTTTGCCTCAGATACAGTATTATCATGTGTACCATTATCTGGTATTGGCTAGGAGCTTTTACACATGTGAGCAATTCCGAGCATGGAAATCGCTGGAGGCGTACAATCAATTTGCCGAGGGTTGGGTTGGTGACGTTTGCTCAAGTGCAATCAATGGAAAAGTAGTCATCATAGCGAAGGTATGTAGCATGATGCTAGACTATTCTGTCTATTAAAAAGCCATAGCCTGCACAACTTAATTCCTATGTTCCACTTAAAACAGAGTGCGTTCTATAATATGCATGTACTTATTTTTACACTAGATTATTAGAATCTGGATATCAGTCCATGTACAACAAGACATACATTAGAACATACTAATTACATTTGTTTTAATTAACTCAAATAAGTTCTTGAACTAAATAAAAAATGCTCTTTGTTTAGGTCAAAGTGTCAATGACAAGCCACTGCGCCCCTGGGTCATCTGCGAGCCGGATGGTGCTGTCAACTCTGCCCACTGTACCTGCATGGCTGGGCTTGGCGAGGTGTGCTCACATGTTGGTGCGCTTCTTTTCTACTGTGAGGCTGCTGCTCGACTGAGTGCATCAACAACTTGCACTCAACAAAAGGCTAAATGGGTACTCCCAACCATCAACAAGGTGGACTATGCAGAAATAAGACACATAGATTTTTCCACACCTGCTACTAAAAAGAAGAGAATTGATAGTGCCATTGCTGGAACACAACTGACAACTCGAACAGCTACAAAACTCCCAACTGTTCGAATACCATCAGAGGAAGATATCAGTGCGTTTATGGACAGGCTTCATAATACTGGTGTCAAATCGGTCATTCTTTCTGTTACTGAAAAATATCAAGATAGTTTCATTCCAATAATTTTGCAAGAAGGTAGACTACCCATCGCCTTGATTACCCTCAAAGATGATAAATATATTAACATGGACAGGGACTCATTATTGGCTGAAGCACCATCAGTATTTAATAAGCTGGCAGTAACTGATCAGCAAGTGAAAAATGCAATTATAACAACTTTGAGATGTATGCCAAAGAACATCATTACAACTTTTGTATATGTAAATCTGGACTTTGGATGAACAAGAACTACCCTTATATGGGTGCCACTCCTGACGGCATCCAGGAGTGTAGTTGCTGTGGTAAAGGCATTTTAGAGATAAAATGTCCATATAATGCCAGAGAAAGCACACTTGATGAATCCCAGTTGCCTTTTCTAAACAAGGATGGCACTTTGAAGATAACAGACAAATACTTTTATCAAATTCAGACCCAGCTGCTTGTGACTGAAACGGACTATGGTGATTTTGTAATTTGGACTCCACATGAAATGAGCATTCAGAGGATCACCCCGGATACTGATGTTTTCCAGGAAATAATAAGTAAAGCAGAGGACTATTATTTGAAAGTGTTGTTGCCAGAACTCATGGGTAACCTCATTACCAGAGAAATTGAAGAGACTAATAGAAAAGCTCAAGATAATCCGTATGTTGGGGAAGTGGTATGCCACTGCCCAAAATCCCATGTTGCCACAAACATAGTCATTAAATGTACGAGTGAAATGTGTATTTAAAAGTGGTTCCATCTACAATGTGTGAAGTTGAAGAGGACACCGAAGGCATACACATGTAAGAAATGTAAAGGCAAAGCCAAGCTCAAGAGTAATAAGCTCAAGGATGTACCCACAGTTAGTGACCTTGAATAGTATTCTCATATGAATTGCACTGCATGTTGTTTCTCTTGATTGTGTAGTGTTACATATTTTGGAATATCAGAGTGGATGCTCTTCAGAAACAATTTATTTCTACAGAAAAAATGTTCTTTGGACAATACATTATTTTGAACATTACGTATGTTTGGTCATTGTTTGACATTACATTTGCACCGTGTTTCACCATTTGTTCTTTGTTTTATGGTTTGAATTGTGTAAAGTCCTGTGAGATTACTGGGCTATACAAACATTTAAATTGAATGGAAATATGGCACTAAAACCAGTATTAGCAGAAATGCACAAATATTTAAGGTTGCAAAAATAAAGGCTTTTACAATATGCATGGATAATAATGTTCAGTCTTTTTAAACACTTAGACAAATAGTTTGTACAAGACATATCTTGTTGCACTGAGCTTTCCAGTTTCAGATATTTAATCTCTTAATTGAAAGGAACAACAGAAACACATAAATTTGACAGGCAACATGCAACACATGCAATTTTGTCGACAACAGGAAGTTCTTCATTTTCGGTCATCAAAATGTCAATTGGCAGTTTGCTCTGGAGGATGGTGTATTTGTTGCGAACAAGACCAATGACACGTTCTACATGTATGCGTACATGAGCAATTTTTCGTTTCTGTTCAACTTCAAGGGGTGACAGTTGGGATTTTCCTCTTGTGAAACTGGGAATGTTGATTTGAGCGCAATAGAACCCTACACTGTCTGAAATGTCAAAACCCCGGTCAGCAAGAATTAGGTCTCCAGGCAATAGACTTCTGAGCAACCCACAGTTTTCCGTGATGTGCTTGTCACTGGCTCTTCCACCCCATGCACTGGATAAGAAGGAAACAGACCCTTGAGGTGTTATACCAACCAGGAACTTGGTCGTATTGCAGTGCTTGTAGGCAGACCATGTTTTTGCCCTTGCCATCAGGTTCTTCGGTCTCTGAATGGGTATTTCGAAGCAGTCAATTATCACTGCAGTTTTCTGCCCGAAGTTTTTCCGGAACTCCATTTTTTCATGGTCTTTCTTAATTCTTCCCGTGTTGGCCAGCGAATAATGTGTTTCAATCTCACATAAAGAACGTGAATGTACACAAGGAAAATTCTGGAGGCTGTTGATGTTGACGTCTGGTAACAGTAAGCCAAATCTTGTAGCGGTGTGTTTAGCTTCATACGAGACAGTGTCATAACTAATCTTTCAAATTTACCCAGATCATTAAGCCTTGTTGCTGGCAAGTCCGGCTCAATGTCATCGTAAATCATCTTTAAGACATCAAATGAAGGCAATCCGGTGTAGTATGTTACCAAGTCTTGTCTATCAGCTAGTGCTTCCTGTGTCATCCTGAATGTTTTTAATTGTAGTTTGAGCGATATGTTTTCAGACAACAAACGTTGAAATTCACCTTGAACATCAGGTGTAAATGTTTTAAGATGATCTGCGCGTTTTGGTTTACATGTTGGTGGTTCCATTTTCCCAAGTTTGCGAAAAGAACAGTTGGGTCCTGCAGCAACATCGGCGACATTTTCCACTTCACTATCGCTTACGGTGGTAGCATGCAGCTCCAAAAGCGCACTTGCAGCAGCATGTTTTGCTTTAGATGCCTTCCACTTTTCTGCCCGTATAAATCTGGAAATGACAAAAATAATAGAAACATATATAACTTAAGTAGATTTAAATCTATATACCTAATAAGACAAACGTGTTACTCAAGACATTTTACAAATAGTTTGTGGTGAATTAATAAAAGTAGACATAATTGGATATGATTGCCGAAAGTGATTCAAAATTCAGTGTGCTGTTTACCTGTTTGTGCTGCCTGTGGCTTTTTTCAAGTTGCTTTCCGATTTCCTTGGATTCAAACATCCGGCCAACTTGAGGGAAGGTGCCCAGTCTGGATTGGTTTGGTCAAATAGGTCTGATGGTTTGCCTACATTAATCAAATGAGTACATTTGTTAGAATGCACAAAATAAATCATGTCCTAATACTATGTTAAATCTACAGTACAGCAACCTAATCATATTGTTGATGCGATAATTGAGTGTAGATCTTCAGGGTTTCTACAGGTAGCAAAGGTTATACTTTTAGTGCCCCAAAGTTTATTTCTAAAGATTTAAAAAAAACATTCCATTAAACAGAAGAATGAGAATAAATGTAGATATTCAAACGCAAATTGGAAAAAAAGGGCAACTTTTGAGCAAGTAATTGTATATTAATACAATGGCACCACAGTTTAACGTGCTACGGACATGTTTTACATATTTGATCAAATTATGCAGCAAAAATTAACAAGCAATGCAAACATTTCTCAAAAACTTTAGATTTAATACCAGTTGGAGCTCCATTTAATTATTTTAATTATATTAACAATTAATTTAATTAATGCTAATGCCACACGGACACTCTGGATTGCTGTTATTGTTTATTTTCGCGTTTTTGACCGTATGTTTTGGTGAATGGTGGGCAACTGATTTTTCCAGGCGTAAAGAGCAGTTTATTTTATTACACAGATCTTTTTACAGAAGCAATGCTGTTTGTGAACATTGTTTTAGCCCACCATAGAACTATTATTATCTATTTAATACATTTACGTTGCCCTCGAGAGCCTCGGACGCGACACCGATCCTCCTCATAATAAAGTAATCTAAATAATGAAACTCTCAAGTTACCAGCTATCAGCATACACAAGTTAGTACTGAGTAAATTACGTCTGTCAACACATTATAAGATACGATACGCACCTGACACAAAGTGCTCCGAGCATATTCTTGAGTGTTTTGAGGGAGTTTCTTGCCTGTTTATCTTCGCAAGCCATAACCTCCGTCGTTGTTCTGACAAAAGCTTAGTCTTCTCACATTCATGAAGTCTAATGATGGGTATACTGTAAAATCCAAGTTTAACAGAACCTCCGGCACGGTTTGAACATCCATTGACCCAGCAGGAGACGACCATTTTCAACTTTATCACACGTTTCAGCGTCTTCTTCTATTGTTTTGCCCACAGCATGCCAACACAAATGGCGCCGGGTCGGCAAATCCCCGTATGTAGTGACGTCATGTAGGAACTATGTATATCCAAGCAACATTACCACGGTAAAAAACGACATGTTATTTTTTAGGAAAATAATTGAATAAAATAAGTTATAAATCGTGTATGTTTCGGTAATGAGAAAATAAGGAAATTATAAAAGTAATCTCTTCAGAGGTTTGCATTTTTAAAGTTCTGAGGCTGGACATCTGAATCTGGATTTCGTCACCCATGGTTCAAGTCCCTAGGACACAAACTGAACCTTGCGGACGTTCGAACTCGTCATTTGATGAAGGCATAATATTGTAATTACATAACAGAAGTAAAATCTTTGTCAGAGTGGGTGGCTCTTAAAAGAGCCGTTGGTGTTGGTTACAGTCCCGTGCTTAACCTCCGAAGCCGTACAGGGTGCGGCCCAGCCGCGGCGCCAGGGATAGGCCCGGGTAGGCCGGTGCCTACCAGTTTTTTTCTTGGCCTACTCAAATTTGTTCTTCGCCTCTCAAGTCATTAGCCTTTTTATTAAAAGTCATAATTTAAATATTGTTATTTTTATACACACATTAACTTAATGTTGCGTTGTAATGTTTTAAGAAAATGTAACCCCCTGAGCGTTCACGTTGCTTCAAATATAGTCCTGTTTATTGGATGAATAATTTTGTCCAATAATCTGCATGATCATATCACACAGCGCGAAGCTCGTTCCCGAGAACAAGCAGCCATTCCTCGTCTTAAAGATTGACAACGCTCTCAAAACATTCACAACAGAGCAGCCTTTTTAGTCATTTTAGTTTTAAGAAAGTTCAGCGTGAACTTCTTGAGGTAGAGGAGCCAGAGGCCCGGGCCCGTAGGTCCCAGAGGAGGAGAGCGCAGTCAGGCCAGGTTCACCTCGCACTGATAAGGTAAACCCCAGGCCTGTGTGTGTGAGACACACAGGGCCTCATGTATGAAACTTGCGTACGGACAAATCAGGGTGTAAATCAGGGTGGAATCACTTTTCCGCATTTATCTATCTGGACGTGAGCGTACAATACGCAAAAAAATATACGGCAGGTCTGGAGGTGGAGTAAACGTATACGGTCTGGAGGTGGAGTAAACGTATACGCTGATCTCAACCTTCGGCTCAACACGCCAAAACACGCGTGAAAAATCAGGATTTGGACAACAATAAACATATTCCCTCTGACAAAATTATAAGATGTGTTTTCATTGAGCGTCATGTTTCAAAAGTTGAATTTGCGCATCGGAAAAAGTCTAATGGAAAAATGCAAACTTCGAATAAATCACAGCTCATGATCAGGACCCTCTATTAAATCTGACTTGTGTGTGTATATTTTGATCTGTATATGTTTTTTAAATGTGAAGCGTTTTGTGATCCTGAACTGTGAAAGGCTCTATATAAATACACTTTACGCAACAGGGATGTGTGACCCAGCTATTGCTGTGACAGGCTCTGCACTGCGTAATTACGCACGGCTATTTGTATTCCTCACATCTGGTAAAGCAATGTGTTATTTCATTAGATTTGTGTTAGCCTCACACAGACACACACCCCAATAACGCACCAATGGTATTGCTCACTCCAAATGTCTCACTGCCCTGTCCAGAGTGCGCAGCGGGTGCCGTGAGATATCGCGCCACATAACTCCTCAAATGTGCAGAAGTTTTGGCTTCAGTTTCTTTGTGAAATCTGGACCGCAAACACTCTCTGAAGTGTACAGTGCTTCAATGCGCACTTCTACCCCGAGCCAGGCTGCGTCCAAGACACTGCAGACGCTTCATTCATGAGAGCCACCGCTGCATAATAAATATGAATTCATTCATTCATTCATTCAATCAATCTATATTTATTCACTTCTACAATTCAAGAGAGATTTTTCTAATGTATCAAAACTATTTTTGCAAATTTGTGCAAAACGCAGCTGAATATATAGCGTATATTTATTTTTACATAAACATAACAAACAAACGTGCCTTTTGAGGCTTCCAACAGTCTTTTTGGACTTCCGTGCTGACCTGTCGCGAACATTGCTGCATAATTCTAGGCGTGACTTTCATAAATACGTTCGTATTCAGCCGATTTATCAACACCCGCAGCTGCGTATACGCTCAGATCTGGGCTGATCTCACACGTTCATAAATCCGACGTTGGATTTTGCGTAAATGGAATATGCAACCCAAATGTACAAATTTTTCCACGCAAGTTTCATAAATGAGCTTGTGTGTATGTGTGTGCTTGGGTGCGTGTGTGCGCGTGCGTGCGTTTGAACCATATTCTTTGAAACCCCAATTCCAGCTACCCCTTGTAGTTTGCGTGCAAATTTGGCCTACTTACTAATCTGCAGGCCTACCCAAAAATACAAACCTGGTGCCGCTAGGTGCGGCCCTGTCTCTTCAGGGCGTATACCACGTCCATGGCAGTCACGGTCTTCCTCTTGGCGTGCTCGGTGTAAGTGACGGCGTCACGGATCACGTTCTCCAGGAACACCTTGAGGACTCTGCGGGTCTCCTCGTAGATCAGACCGGAGATACGCTTCACACCGCCGCGGCGAGCCAGACGGCGGATGGCAGGCTTGGTGATGCCCTGGATGTTGTCACGGAGAACTTTGCGGTGACGCTTGGCCCCTCCTTTCCTGAGTCCCTTTCCTCCTTTTCTTTTCTTTATTTAAGTTTAGATACAATAACAATTTATAATTTCAACAATGATAATAACAATATTTACAGATAATTATTTAAATTTTTAGAAGTGTAAAACGTCCCATGGGAGGTGAGGTGAATTGTTCCGTTGTCGTTTGAGTTGTGTGATAATGTGTTTGTATGTTGTATTACTGTTAATGAAAGTGTGTGATATTGTCATTTTTGTACGTGTTTTCCAGAGTTGAACTGTAGATATTGCAATGATTAGTTGGAAGAGTTCTTGCTGATGTGGGGGGAGAGTTTCTTGAAATAGTCCGTATATGATGGAGCGATAAGTGAGAGAAATGGTGAGTCCGAGAGTCTGTAAGAGAGTCCATACTTCCTTTGAGCGGTAACAGTGTATGAGTAAATGATCCAGAGTCTCGTCATTATAGCAGTTTGGCATTGGGCATGACTTGGTTGTAACGTAGCAGCTCCACGACACTACGGCTCTTACTGAGAGTCTGTTCACGGCCATGAGCCACCGCGAGTCCCGGATGGTCTGCTACTGGGGTTTGTTTAAAAGTTTTACAACATATTGTGATTCACTACTGTTACATTCTTTGAGAAACACAGGTTCACCATACAGTTTATCACACATTTTACAATACAACATTTTTGACGTGAGACCATTAAAATCAAAAGGGTTCTTGTGAATAAAATCACCAAACATTAGTTTATAATAAGGCCCTTTCCGAGCGCGGCCCACCCTCTTCCTCCACATGCTCAGTTCTCCGACCCACGGAGCTCCACGGGCGATGGCTGAAGATACATTTTTAACAAAGGCTAAAGTAAGTTTTATGTCTAAATTTGTTGCTCCGAGGCCACCTAAGGCTCTATCTTTAAAAAGTAGTTCCCTCTTAGTGACTTCTCTCGTGGTGCTCCATATAAAATTAACACACATTTTATTAAGTTTTATCATACATTTGTTAGTGGGTGGAAAGATAGTCGCTAAAAACAACAATTTTGAAATTACATAACATTTTATAATATTTATTTTAAGTTGATAGGATATTTTTTTGTTTTCCCATTTTTTAATTTCTTCTTGGATCAAATTTGTTTTGATTTCCCAGTTCCGTTCTAAGACATTGTTGCAAATAATAATCCCCAAAACTTTTATTTCGTCCCTTGTGGTGATATTTAAAGGGACTCTTCCTTTTTCCTCTCCGATCCACACTGCCTCAGACTTGTTGTGGTTCAGGATTGCACCAGAGGATTACTCATATAGCTGTATGATTGTATTGAGTTCATCGAGTTCTGACTGATACTGAATTATCACCGTGACGTCGTCTGCATACGCTAATGTTTTTATATTGTTGTGAGGAGTGAGCTTGATTCCTTTGATGATGGGACTGGATTTGATCAAAGTGAGTAATGGGTTTATTGCTAAAACATAGAGCGCAGTACTGAGCGGGCAGCCCTGCTTCACTCCGCGGTGGACGTTCAGAGGTTCAGTTAAAACCCTGTTCACATTTACTTGTACAGTGGTTTTAAAATATAGACATTTTACCATATTGATAAAATCTGTGGGAAAGCCATATTTGGACAGGACAGCCCACAAATAGTCTCTCGAAACAAAATCAAAGGCTTTTTTTTGGTCCAGACCAACAATATAAAAGTTCTGTTTATCCTTTTCTTTGTAAAGGAGTTCACGCAGCGCACACACATTGTCCCACATGAGACGGCCTCTGATGGCACACGTCTGCTGTTTTTCTATGACGTCCTCTAGGACATCATTCATGCGGTTCATTAATACTTTGGCTAAAATTTTATAATCAGTGTTCATCAGGGTGAGATGTCTATAATTATTAATGTCCTGTTTCTCACCCTTTTTATACAGGAGACACATCACTCCCTGGTAGAAGGACTCTCCCATCCTACCTTTCTTTAGACCTTCATTAAAATAAGCAGTCAATAAATCTATTACGTTGATTAGATATAGTAGATAAAACTCCGTGGGCAGTCCGTCAGGACCTGGACTTTTACCTGAGTTGAGTTCTTTAATGGCACTAAGGACCTCTTCTTTAGTGACTTCTCCGAGTACAGAGCTGACGTCACAGTCTGGAGGAGAAAGCTCTAACATAGACCTCACAGACTCAGGGTCAACTCTGATGTCTCTGTAAGAGTCTGAAAGCATATTTCTGATCAGTATTCTTTTCTCTCTTTCTTTATAAATGACATTACCAGAGAGGTCTTTAACTGCTTCAATGTATTTATTTTTAATATTTTCTTTACCTGACTTTAAGGCTTGAGTGGTGTTGCACTGTCCATCGACCTGAGCACTTTTAAAAACACTAAAGAAGAGCTCAGCATTAATGTCGTTAATTTGTGATTTTACATCTTTTATTCTGACCTCGTCTTCAAGGGAAGGTTCTTTACGCTGCTTTAATGTTATAAACTCTGTCACCAACTCATTGTAGATATCATTTTTACATTTATTAATTTCTTTACACTTAAATTTGAAGAATTTTGTGACTCTACTTTTTAAAAGTTCCCACAGTTCAGTGTTGGATTTAGATAATATTTTCAGCTGCGTGATGACCACTATTTCCTCTTTGAGTTCATTAATTAGCTCCGGATATTTTAAACAGCTAACATTGAGTTTCCAGAATCCTTTGTGTTCGACTGGACCAAAGCAAACAAACAATGAGGTGATCAGAGAGATCGGTCAGAATGGTTTTATAAGACATTATTGTTACGTTACTGGATGTGTAGATTCTGTCTATTCTAGTTTTGACTTTTGAGTCAAACCTGGTGAAACCATAGTCGTTTGGGTACAGAGTTCTAAATGCGTCTTTCAAACCATGATTACTGCTGATTTTAAGTAAAACATTTCCTTCTTTTCTTATTTTATGAGTTGTGCTCCCGATACGGTCTTTTTCTTCGGTTATTATGTTAAAATCCCCACATATAATGGTTGTAAAATTTACATTGAAAATTTCATTCAATTTCCTCAAAAGTGTACATTTTTTGTGAAATTGTTGTGAAGTAAACACATTTATGAGTCTAATTTTTTCATTATTAAACACACAGTCGACCATTAATAGTCTCCCTGGAATAATTTATCTCTTCCTTATAATATCAACATCATTTTTACATAAAATACCGACTCCATCTGCACTGTCCTCTCCAATCGACACGATACAGTTCCCTTTGGTCCAGAGATTACACACATTATTCACATCATCAAACGTTTTCAGTCTCATTTCTTGAATGAATAAAAAGTCAAAGTTCGTTTTCAACAAATACCCAATTTTCTTTTGTCTATTAGCAGACGATTGAATACCACAGATGTTCCACGAGGCAAGTTTGACAAAAGACATTAAACATTTTTGTTGTTGGGAGAGGACCTTTGATCAAATCTTTTTTCTTTACCCTTCAGTTTGTTTTTATTCCTTTTTCGTTTTGTTGAATACAGTGGTGGGATATTCACAGAGACGAACTCGGGACTTGAAGACCCGGTCGGAGAATCATTTGGGTTTATTTCTGAACCAGAGCTTTCACTCACGCTTTGAGAATGCTCCACTGACCCAGAGACAGAGAGGGGCTCACCTGAGGACCCCGAGGAGCTGGTCTCAGAGGATCGATGGTCCTCGTCTGAAGGAGGGAGAGGAGGCCACAGCGCGCACTCCTCCGCAGAGGCTGTCGAAGAAGGCTGGTCGCTGGTCACAGGCGGTGGCTCAGTGAACGGGTCCACGATCACCGATGACGTGGTCGGCTGAGCAGCGGTCACCGATGACGTGGTCGGCTGTGCAGCGGTCACTGATGACGTGGTCGGCTGTGCAGCGGCCCGTGATGTCTTGCTGGACCGGCCACCGACCTGGGTCTGTACGCCTGTCCCGCTCTGCTGCTCGTGTGGCTTACCGTGAGGCTCACTGGACCCAGATTTGTTACCAGGCAGCAGCTTGGACCGGACACTGGGGTCAGGGTGCGGCTTGTTAGGCCGAGCCCTGGGCCCCTCAGGACCAAGAGTGGGTTGGGCAGTGGCCTCTGGTGGTAGCCTAGTGGGCTTGGAGGACCCAGACGGAAGCGTAGAGGACTGGGTACAGGGCTCAGCCCGGGCATTGGTGGCAGATCCAGCTTTATCAGTCTTTTGGCTGTGCATGCTTAGCCTTGTTGGCATATGATGAGGGGCACGTGAAAAAAGTGTGTCCTTTCTCATTGCATAAAGTGCAGAGTGCTTCACAGGTACAGTCTTTCGCCTTGTGCCCAAATTGTCCACATTTCCAGCATTTCACTAAAGGACAGTCTCGGATCTGGTGATCTGGAGACTGACATACAAAACATGTGACAGGTTGACCCGGATATATAATTCGTCCGTTGTATGGTCCCAAGGATATGGAATTGGGAAGTTGTAAAAAAAATGTCCATTTGAGTCTTTCTTAAGTTGCACTTTGTATTTACGAACACCGTACCAGAGTCCAAACTTGTCTACGGGTTTGACTGTACTCAGGATGCTGCAGTAACGCTGGAGGTAGAGCTCGAAGTCACCGTCTGAAACCCTACCCGTCCAGAATTTAACAACAATAAAGACGGTATCTATTTGAATAGATGACTGAATGGTCCAGTCTTTCCCTTGTTCCTGATTTGATTGAGTAATAATAAGTTTAATTTAATTTAATTTTAATAATTTATTACCTTATTTAGCCATTACGCTCTTTTTTATATCCATTTTCATATAGGGTAAAATGTTGACGGTCCCTAAAAATAGGCGAAGACATGGACATACACTCGCACGAGGCGAGTGTCCGCTCCGTATTACTCTCAGGCTGGCTGACGACCTCATCGCTTACCCGCTCTGAATATCTGCCGAATATCCAAGCAACTTTACCACGGTAAAAAACGGCATGTTATTTTTTAGGAAAATAATTGAATAAAATAAGTTATAAATCATGTATGTTTCGGTAATGAGAAAATAAGGAAATTAGTTAGTTAATTAGAAGTAATCTCTTCAGAGGTTTGCATTTTTAAAGTTCTGAGGCTGGACATCTGAATCTGGATTTCGTCACCCATGGTTCAAGTCCCTAGGACACAAACTGAACCTTGCGGACGTTCGAACTCGTCATTTGATGAAGGCATAATATTGTAATTACATAACAGAAGTAAAATCTTTGTCAGAGTGGGTGGCTCTTAAAAGAGCCGTTGGTGTTGGTTACAGTCCCGTGCTTAACCTCCGAAGCCGTACAGGGTGCGGCCCTGTCTCTTCAGGGCGTATACCACGTCCATGGCAGTTACGGTCTTCCTCTTGGCGTGCTCGGTGTAAGTGACGGCGTCACGGATCACGTTCTCCAGGAACACCTTGAGGACTCCGCGGGTCTCCTCGTAGATCAGACCGGAGATACGCTTCACACCGCCGCGGCGAGCCAGACGGCGGATGGCGGGCTTGGTGATGCCCTGGATGTTGTCACGGAGGACTTTGCGGTGACGCTTGGCGCCTCCTTTCCCGAGTCCCTTTCCTCCTTTTCCTCTCCCGCTCATTTTTTACAGATCGCTGATAGGAACCACAGAGACGTGTGAGGACAAGGCTCTGCTCCACTGTGTTTATCCAGCATCTGCGGACGTAGGTGAAGACTGTGGGGCACGTGGGGGGGATGGGCGTTCATCCAACTGACTGAGAAGGACTCATTGTTATACACGAGCCAAAACTAATTTACACTATAGACTTTCATCTTTTACATGTAGATGTTTTAAAGAGGAGTCAGACTGCAGATGAGACAGCAGATTGTGGAAAAGTGATACTGAAAGACTACCTGTTGGGAAAAATAACAAATGAAGCTAGGTACAATTTATGATTGTGTATGTATTAATGTAAATAAAAAAAAATCTATATCTATCTTATAAATATGTTGGTACTAATATTAATCTATCTATTCATCTATATAAAGCAATATATACAAATATGCAACAGTCCAGGCAAACAGGACCTTGAGAAATGAATTAACTTTGAATTAACAGGATAACATTTAAAATACGTGTATTATATTTATAAAGTTATTATTCAATAATAAATAAATTCATGAAAGTGTTTAAATGATGTTCATGGGGGAGTCTACACGTTTTGAAAATACATTTGTAAACACACAGGTGAAACTATGGCACTTGGTCTTGCTTTGATGTATATTTATGTAAATATTTGTGCATGTACATACTGTAAGCATAAAAGGCAACACAATGTACAAAAGTCTTAGGTCCAATTTCTGCTCTTAATACAATCCAACAGTGCTAAATAGAAGTTCTACCACGAGTAGTGTCCATTAAATCTCTTGGCACATTGTCCCAGAAGTGTTTGTAAAATCAGACCAGGTCAAAAGGAAGGACCACAAGCGATCTCTACGGACCATGGGGTACAAAATCATAAATAGTAAGTAGAATACGCAGTTTTAGAACTTTACATTATCTTTGAACATCTTGAGGGATTATGTTGATGCATATTCTAACATGTACATATCGTTACTACTATCACTGTACTTGGCAGAAGTGAATCTTTGTCAGATGTGGGTGGCCCTGAAAAGGGCCGTTGTGTTGCTCTGTAAACGGCTCAGTTTACTTTGAGCTGGTGTACTTTGTCACGGCCTTTGTACCCTCAGACACGGCGTGCTTGGCCAGCTCTCCTGGCAGCAGCAGACGCACTGCGGTCTGGATCTCCCTGGAGGTGATGGTGGAGCGTTTGTTGTAGTGCGCCAGGCGGGAGGCCTCTCCCCCGATGCGCTCGAAGATGTCGTTGACGAAGGAGTTCATGATACTCATGGCCTTGGAGGAGATGCCGGTGTCAGGGTGTACCTGCTTCAGCACCTTGTACACGTAGATGGCGTAGCTCTCCTTCCTGCTCTTTCTCCTCTTCTTGCCGCCTTTGCCGGCGGTCTTGGTGACGGCTTTCTTGGAGCCCTTCTTGGGCGCGGACTTTGCTGGCTCAGGCATGTTGCTCTGCGAGTACAGACTGTCGGAGAGGGGGTCCGTGCGCTCTATTTATATTCGCGTCATGCAGAGCAGCTGCGCTGTTCCTCTCACGTGATTGGTCAGACCTCCCTCCCTTGGAGTTTCTCTCCTTTTCTCTCTTTCTGAGGGATGACAGGACACAGGACAAAGAAAACTGCGGAGAGCGTTAGAAAAAGCAAAAAACAGTGGAACTCCTCTAGGTTTATGGGAATATTTAGAGACATGGCATATAATAAGTGGAGTTTAAAACACTGATTTAAACAACTAAAATGACCTCGTGCTCAAGTCACTATCGTACAAATTCAAATAGACACAAATGTTACAATTACTGTCACAGGTCGCTGGAGCAAGGAACTACTTTTTTTTTTTTTTTTTTTTATACAACTTTAATGTAGAAACGTCGTGCCCGAAGGCATTGACGGCTGGTTTCTTAAATATTAAAACATAGTATCAAAAATCAGCCTATGCTTGATGTCCCATAATTTGTTTTTAAAATTGTCCAAGGTGGGACAGTCACACAGCTCGGGAGATTTGTTTAATAGCTTTGTTAAAAATAGGAATGGAGATCGGTCCAATGCTCGACTCGTGGGGAATTCTATGCCCGGGTGGACGAGTGTTTTATTCCGTGTTTGAATAAGAGTTCGTTTAATAATGGGACAAAAGGACTGGAGAGCCTACTGGTTAAGTCATTAAATAAGTTTGTCTTAGTTGTCACGACAGAAGTTTAGTCTCTGTGTGGGGGTGGGGGACTCTTAAAAGAGCCGTTGTATTTGGTGATGAGCCATTTCCCCATCCTCTGGTTGCAGTTGTGACCCACACAAATTATTTGTACAAAATGCGTTTTATTTAACCTTTATTTTACCAGGAAGTCCCTAGAGATAAAATCTCTTTCACGAGGGAGACCTTGCCAAGAACATCTTGGCAACAAGCAAGCAATATAAAAAGATGTTGATCAATTGCGAAGGTTCTCCTTTTTTGGAGTGGGTGGCTCTTAAAAGAGCCGTTGGTGTTTGTTGTAGTGCCGTGTTTAACCTCCGAAGCCGTACAGGGTGCGGCCCTGTCGCTTCAGGGCGTACACCACGTCCATGGCGGTCACGGTCTTCCTCTTGGCGTGCTCGGTGTAGGTGACGGCGTCACGGATCACGTTCTCCAGGAAAACCTTGAGCACTCCGCGGGTCTCCTCGTAGATCAGACCGGAGATACGCTTCACACCGCCGCGGCGAGCCAGACGGCGGATAGCGGGCTTGGTGATGCCCTGGATGTTGTCACGGAGGACTTTGCGGTGACGCTTGGCGCCTCCTTTCCCGAGTCCCTTTCCTCCTTTTCCTCTCCCGCTCATTTTGACAGTTTAGTGGTATAACTCTCAGATGAGGTCAGAGAACTGCGCTGCTGAACTTGTAAGGCATCTACGGACGTGGCTGAAGACTGCGGAAAGATGGCCGTTATTTCGGAGAGGCGCATGCGCGGGGCCCCGCATAACGGAGCCGGCCATTTCACAGTCACTATGTTTCTACACAAACAGGACGTTTACGTGAGGAACAATAATTATGAGGGGGGAAAAAAAAAATTGGCTCGGCTCCGCTCTTTACAGGACAGGGCCAGTGTCATTTGTGGTCAAACTTTAAAGGTCCTAGGAGTTATTAACGCCTTTGTTCATAGTATATTATGTAGATGTTTCCTTACAGACCGTAGAGAAGATGGTTTCTTCAATAGTTCAGGAGCATTTGCAGTAGTAGTAGTAAGTAATCTTTATTTTATATATATTTATATTTTTTGGGCATTTGTCTCTCACTCCACACAGAGATGGGAGCAGGGTCGCCAGTATAGGAGGCGCATGCCAGAATTATTGGACCTATTTTAGTGGTAGGGGAAACCGGAGTACCCGGAGGAAAGCTACGCAGACACGGGGGGAGAACATGCAAACTGAGGCCTTTGATCTGACCAGGATTCGAACCCAGGACCTTCTTGCTGAGAGGCGAGAGTGCTATCCACTCAGTCACCGTGCCGTCACTATGAATGACTGCAATGTGACAGCAGTGTCTGTGTTTCATTCATCTTTTTAATTCACATTTATTTGTAGAGCGCTTTTCCTGCACAGAAGAACACAAAGTGCTTTGCAGCTTTGTGCTTTATCACTATGAAGCCGTAACTCATAAACATTAAAATCACAGGACATTACAACCATTC